GGCCTTCCTTTCTCTGGCTAGTTAGATACGGCAGTGATGCAGGCTCAGCAACTTGCGGAGGGGGCCTGGAGAAGTAGGACGAGCAAGAAGACAGTTACCTTTACAGTACAATTCGTAACATGAAGGAACGCAGCAGTGCAGATGCCAGGTGTTATTCAGATGCCAGCCCAGGGCCAGGGGGCAGTTTTGTGGCCCATTTGGGATTAGGTTAAGATCCCCAAACCTATTTGCGAGGCCTTAACGTTTGCAAACCCTTGTGCCTGCTGCTTATGCCCATGCCCTGGTTCGGACACAATCTTCCCTTTGTGACATCACAATCGGCTGCTGGGGAGATGGTTACGAGGTCACAGGCAGCAGCTTACGAGGAGAAGATGGGGGCTCGACAGCAAGCCCAGTGCCACAGGCTCACATTCACAGCTCAGCGGGATGGCTGAGGTTTGCCATGTGGCATCGGGACGTTCCGCAAGGCCCACGGGTGGGGATGGCAGAAGTGGCGGGAGCTTCTTGCCAGGCGTAGTCTGCTCACAGGAAACGCTCTCAAAGGGGAAAATGCAGAGAGCGCTCCTGCCCCCTTTATCTCCTCTGGGGTCGCTCCTGGACAGCTCACAATACATGGAGAGGGAGCTTGTCTGCCAGTAGCTCCGTGCATGGCCTTGGGAAAGTCACTTCCCTTCCCTTTGCCCACCATAGGGACAACACCTGCCTCCTCGGGGCATCACAAGGCTGAATTCATTAACATTTGAAAAGCACTTGGAGATCCATGGATGGCTGGTGCTAGAGAAGGGTCTACAGAAGAGGGACGTAGGGTCAGTGCAGCTAGATTTCCTCCTCCCCCAGTAGCGGTGTTTCCTTAAAAAGAGTCAGTAGGTCCAATAATTACATAACGGGCTTGGAAATTGACACAGTCTGAGGGAAGAGAAATTAGTGTATTTTCAGCCTCCGCTGGTTCCCCTCACCAGAGGGCAGCTGAGAAGCTTGACTGCAAAGTAGATAACACAGATTTGAGCTGGGGGACCCCACACGAGGCAGAGCCATAGCCCCGGACAAGGGAAGGGTGGGAATCGGCAGTCTTCCCCTCAGCCCCATGAGCTCTGTCCCCATTATTCAGATTTGCAGAAGCAGCAGCAGCCATCTCCAGCACATAGCCCAGGACTCACACTGGCTCCAGTGTGTGCCCCAGTGAAAAAGGACAGCACTGCTTGGCAGAGCCATCACAAGGGATGATAAACACCCAAATCCACTTTAAGCCAACACCGTGGAAGACTTGCTTTGGTGCCTTAAGCCACTGCGCTGGAGAGGATCCCGCAGCTGCTTTCTACGACCTTCCCGTACATCATGTTCTCTCCAGCCACACCACTGGAATTTGAAAAAGGGGGGAAAACACCCATACGTTTCATTGAGAGAGATTAATGGAGCCTAGGGAATAGCGGGCGTCCCCAAGCGTGCAGCGTGTCCCAGACAGCACCAGCTCTGTGCTTCACAGCCAGTGCCATCTGCTTTAGAAACCCTGGCCACGAACCCCACCATTCCGGGGTCAGCCGTGGCTGGCAGGAGGCTCCGCTGGTTGCCAGAGGCTGGGGTAGTTCCGAGCCAACAAGAACCAGAGTCCCCAACTAGTTCCCAGTGTCCATAATATAGCCACACACACTGAATTAACAGAATAACAAGCTCCCTAGAAATAAAACCTCATTACACCAAGCAAGCCCAAAAGCCCAGCCTGGACTCACCTGTCCAAACGCTCTCACCATGAAAAACAGCGCAGTCATCAGCGTGGCCAGCATGGTCGGACTCTACAATGGGCTCCCCCCACCTAAGGGAAACAGAAAAATTTCCCGAGACAGAGTCCCGATTGTCACAATGTCACCAGCAACTGAAATGTCCCCTTCTCCGGCTGCAACAGGGCAGATGACCTCCCAACCCCTTAATGAGCTTAGCGCTCGTTCTCCTCCTGCCAGAGTAATTGTTTGCTGTCCTTTCGCTCGTCTAATTGCCGGGGCTTGTCCAGCACATACGGCACCAGTGCAGAGCCTCTTCACCCATCCCCTTCAAGAAATGAATGGGCCCACCAAGTGAGGATTGAAAGAAAGAGGGAGGTGGCAAAGGCACGCACTGGTCGGTGGCTTGTGGGATTACAGTAGCACGGCAATGCCTCTAGCACCCAGGAACCATCTGCTTTTCCATTAGGGACGGGGATTTTTCAGGGCTTTGCAATGCTCCCTGCATGGCCAAAGCTGCTGGCAGGGCTGCGGGGAGGAGTGAGCTGACTGCTTCGATTATTGCCATGACAAAGGAACGTGTATCAGACCAAGATGCACCTGAATAGCTGGCAGGGTGCTCTCTGCCCAGTGCCCCAAGACCCCACCTGAGCTGGAGGGGGGCTAACCCCAGGGTAGACTGCAAGACACTGGCATTTAATCAGGCTTTTAATTGATTTTTCAAATGTAATTAGCAACGGCTGGGGTGAGGGAGTCCTCTGCCGAAGCAGGGCACGGAGCCTCTTACTGAGCCAGCAATAAGCACCACAGCTGAAAGAAACCCAGATAAGGGGCCCCTACAACCCCATGGAACCAGCAGGCCACAAGCCGTCACGGGAATAAAGGAACCATTTACTTCCCCAGATGGAACTCAGCATCACTCTCCTTAACACGAGGTCAGAGAAAACAGCCCGGAAAGCATACTTCCAAAGCACTTCGATACCAGAGTGATGGGTGCTGGACACAGCCCCTCGGGAGACTGAAGCTATCCAGGGAGAAGCAGATAGCCTAGGGTATTATTATTTGACTTACCTCAAGGAGAGAGGACAGCCTAGGCTAACACTCCATCAGACTTCTGCTCTGGCTGCCCTGACCATCCCATCCTATCCCCCTTCCCCTCTCTCTCACACACACACACACACACTGTACTTTTTAAGGGGTCTCGACTGCTCAAACCCGTTGTTCAACCTCCCAGCCCAGCAGGCCTTTCATCACAAAAGGATCACAAGGCACTTGACGGAGTGAGCTCAGCACAGGAGAGACAGGATGGCAAAGGTGGAACTAGATGGAAGAAGAGAGACAATCAAACCCTTGGAGTAGACTCCCTTTTCCCTCCAGCTTAGTTTCCTGGGCCTTTCTATTGCAGCATCTCATCCCCTATGAATCACTCTCCTCTTGGGCAAAATCCAGGACTTTAGCAAGTTTTACTCCCCAAAAGCTGCTTTTCAGTAGTCGTCAGAGCTCCATGTGGCTCTAATCAGGGCAATGGAAGACGTGGAGCCAACACTCCCCTCTGGATTTCTCCCTGGCGGTCAATGTCCATGGGAGATCAGCTCAACAAGAAACGTAGGAGTTTCAACAGCACAGGCAAATGGTCTTCTCACCGCGCTGGGAGCACCAGCGGGCGCGGTTCTCTTCTGCCAGCTCCACACAGGACCATGACTTCCCGACCGACAGTGGTGGGAGCAAGGAGAGAAGCAGGCCCTTGGAGAAGAGCACAAACACACCACACTAAACCAACTGCTGTGGGAGTCACCAGGGGCTCTGCAAGGACACCGGTTTCTAGGCAGACAATCAGGCTTCGCCTGTTCTATGCCTCACAGGACATGGCTGGTTTTATGCATCACCATGAGTTTCCCCTTTCCCCTGGTGCTGCCAGCAGCCACTTCACCAGACACTTGAGAGCAGCCTTGAGTCCAGGAGGCCAGGGTTTGGGCATGCCGCGCTTTGACCCAGGGAAGAAAGGAGGAGGCAGACGCAAGTCCATAGCAGGCCCCAGCCAACTGATTTCCGCAGTAGCAGCAGCGGGGGTCGCTGTGGGGAGCAGAGCACAAGGCAACGGCGTGCTGGGGCAGTTGGAGGCAGAAGAAAAGGCTCCTTGTGCCAGTGGTGGGTGGGTGAACAAGAGCCAGGGAGCCACAGACCGGCCATTCGAGAGCTTTCGCACAGCCAGCCGTATCACAGTCGTCCAATATGCACATCCATGGCCACTCAGGACAACAGCACCGTGCAGCCCTCAGACCCGGAATGAGCGATTCTGATGCAGGCTGTCTCTCGATAAGCCCTGGGGCTTCGAGTGGATGGTCAGCAAGCTAAGTCTTTGATGCAAGAGCTCTCCTACGTGGAAAGCCATGCATGGGCAGCACAGAACCAGCCAGGAAGAGCTCAGAGGACAGTCATCTAGCTGGCAGAAGGGCTGGGAGGGGAAAAAAAGACAATGGTAGGAAATGAGAGGGAAAGAAATAAACCACGAGAAAAAAAGGGGGCCCTGATTCTGCTTGATTCCCAAAGAAATGGCTCTCTCAGCCATCCAATCAGCAGACTTCGGTGAGAGCAGGGTGCCGAAATAGCACTTGGGAAGGCATTGCTGTTATAAAATAAATGTAAAAGTCAATAGTGACAGCCAACCCGCAGAGTTACCCAACGTTAACACATCCCCAGGTGCCAGCCAGCTGCCTGGGGAGCCGCCAAGTAACACAGGGAGAGGTGGTCCCCGCCAAGTACCACATAGCACAGACACAGCTGTGTAGAGGCCCCTACCACACCTTTAAAGAGCGTGGTTGTAATTAACTCCACCCCAGCCTTCATCTACTCCAGCGAGAGACACCTCTCCCTCAGCCCTCCAGCTGGTATCGCCCTAGTCTATTGCAGCACAACACCCGCCCTACGACCTTGGCACATGCTTGGGAGGAGGGAGCCACTGCAGAGGTGCATGGAAAGGGGTGGGGGAGAGGCCCGGGGGAAAACCTGGCTCAGGGCTGCCCATGCCGAGTTTTCTGCTGGCTGAAAGCTCTGTTTTCTAGCTCTCTAGTACGCCATTTAGCACCCTAACCTGATAACAAATAGACTTGTTTGTGCAGCGGTCTTTGAACTTGGCAGAGGCGACCTTGACAGGATAAGAGCAATACAACTTGGAGAGGAGCGAAGGAAGTGTCTGAAACGGAACAGCAAGGTGGATACCAGGGCTGAGTTCGAGGGAGGGAGACAAAAATCTCAGCTGGAAAAAAACAAAGCTGCAAACACCACCATTGTACAAAATAGATCCGTGCCAATTTAATTTGCATACAAAACAGGATACAGCTGAAAGCTTCACAAGGGGGAGAAGAGACCTGCGACAGAAACAGTCATTTGGTTACTAAAATAGTCTTTTACCCACACAAAGAATATATGCTCTCTAGAATGTACAGGTATGATTCCAAAGGGGGCACGTCTTCTGCTCTGTGTGTGCTTTGGGTGTAATGTCCCAATGACTGCAGAGGGGTTCAGTGCTGGGGAAAGCCAGGACAAGTGGGGCTGTTCAAAAAAAGTTGAGGGCTGCCATGTGGCAGAGAGAGAGAGAGAGACTAAAAGCAAATTCCAGCAGACAAGGATTTGTGTAATCTGGTACAGCGGGCAGGAAACCTACCTAATGATCCATTCTTTCCTGCCGGTTCCCAGTGGTCACTCAAGGCCACTCAGTCAGTCAGTACTGCTAAGTGTGCCCTAGGTAAGGACATCAGCATGCTGTGTTATATCAGCAGTGCCTCTGGGAGTCACCTGCCCTCAGCTTATCAGCAAGGAAAGGAGGTAAGAGATGTTAGTGCCAGACCCTGTGAGCACAAATCCACTCCCCGGGATCTGTCTGCAGAACCAGTCCAAGCCCTTGTTTAAGGAGAACAAAGTCAGGTAGCTTACATTTTAAAGATCAGGTATTATTTTAAAAGTTATAAAGTATAAAAATGGACATTTTCTCTTGCTTAAAAATTTAAGTAAAACATTTTCTGTTTGCATGTAAACAGTCCCCTGAAGCATTTGCAACCCAAACTATTGCAACCAGGTGCTGGCGCACGAAAATCAGAAAGCAAAATGAACCAGACAATCCTCACTATCCAGACTGAGAAACACAAACAGTATGAAAGGGTGGAAAGCTACAACTTCCAGTCCTTTCTGTTTTAGTCATCTCTGGTAGGAACTCTTTGAAGGATGATTTCTCATCCCTTTAATGCAGATTTTTAGTCAAACAAACAATAACGGCCAGAAGAAAATTGTTGTTTAAAAAGCATAAATATCCCAAGCCAGCTTAGAGGAATGATGGCTAATGACACAGCACCACGCAGCAGCTAGAAATGCAGCCTGCCTCTACACCCATCTCTGCATTTCCTCCTCACTGCCCTGACCCAGAACTGAGGACAGGAGAGGAGGATATTTTTTAAAGGCCGTCTTCAGGCAAATGCCAAATGGGTTTTAATGTCCACAAGGCAACGAAATCAAGCTGCAGCCATGCCAAGGGACTGATCCAAAGCCGAGGAAAGCGTCTTACAATGGACTTCACCGGCCCCCAGTTGGGAAGCTGACAGATACTTGGCCGTTTGAATCCTGGGCAGGTGCCCAACAGCCCCTCCCTGCCGTCCAATCCCATGGCTCATCTGCTCCGTGTTGCTTCGAGCTGCGCTGTCTCTGGGCTGCCTCCTCAGGCTCAGGCACTACAGCAGGAGCGAGTGCTCGGACACAGAAGTGCCTTTCCCGCCCCAGAAAAGCGGCCTCTCCGGCGTGCTGCTGGCTTGCTCCACACACTGAAACCAGCTGGAGGGGTCCAGCGAACGGAGGGACTTGAAAGCTAGGTGTGCGGCTTCACGACGGCTGCAGTCAGAAAAGCGACCGTGCAAAGCAGAAACGACCTTATCCAACATGTCAGCTTCCTCTCCGGCCCAGTCAGAGCCGTGTCACTGACCAAACCAGCTCTCCCACACAAGTCCTGCAGAGCAGCAAGCCGCTCCTAGTCTGTCTCGAGTATCGTCACGCTCAGCCCTTATTGGAAACGACCCCAAACCAGCCCAAGTCTGGAGCTGGGCTCCCCAGGGAGCGAGAGCACTCGGGGCTCTGTCTGTTACTGGTGGTTATTCAGGCCACACCCATTGGTAGAGCTCCATTGACAATGGACTCTCTCACGACAGTCTCTGCCCGCCACGTCCTCCAGCCTGGCTCTCAGCAAATCCAGACTGGAGAGAATCCAGACAGACTCCCACCACAGGCTTCTCCAGTCACCCGGACTCGAACCACGCAGCTCGGGGGGAGTAGGGAGGTCTCCTCCATCGCGTCAGCCCTGCAAGCCATCCCCACCTGGCACTGCCTGCTCCTATGGCTTCTGCCCTGTCAAAAAGAAAGTGGGTTTGTTAAAACCCTTCCCAGAGGCTTAGCCTCCACTGTCCCCTGAAGGATCAGCCCCAGTCTCCTAACTCAGACGCGCTGAATACAAAACATTGTCAACTAGAAACAAACTCAACACTGGATATGAAAAAGAATCCTGACTGAACAGACTTGGTTTTCTTTTCCTGTTAGAGTCAGGACGTGGTGCCCAGAAGCTCTGACTATATTGCTTTCGATTGTGCTCTTCCATGTAAAAAAATATAGACAATTGCTTTTCATTCTCCCAAGCTCAAGTTTGTGCCACAGAGTCCGGGTCTGAGGTCACCTGCAACCACTGTTTGTTGTGAATCCACAGTGCATTCTCTTCCTCTAGCAACAGTTTTCTGTTGGAATTCACCTCCTCCCCCGCAACAAGTTATTCCAAGTCCTCAGTGAGCCACATTTCCATCAGGTGATGGCTGGAATACTAATGAGGGAACTGTTGATTTATTGAAGCCCTGACATTTCACCACTGGATTAAGCGGTCTATAAAGTATATTTGGACACATTACAGGATTAGAAGAATTCACTTGGGAAGTCCACTTCCTCCCGCCTCCTGGAAAGATACTTTATTTCAAGGGCAGAGCAAAGAGACAGACGAGGGACTGCTGGGTACCACCGCAACGCAATGTATTGTAAGAGGGAACAGAGTGCAGCTGTGTTGCTCTCTTGCCAGGCTGTCTCCTGGGGCATAGGGCGGGAAGGCTATGCCCCTCTCTGCTGGGGCTCCGTCACCTTTTAGTAGTGATACACTTTAATTTGGTTGTTTTCATCCAGTCCAAGCTGCACCAGGCCAGGGCTGCTGGCAGAAGGCTTCTGTGTGCTTGGAAAGAGAGGACTGGAAGCTCAGTGAAGGAAACGCATTGCTTACATGTGAATTCAGCCTGTGTGAATGTAGACATGGGAGGCGGACAAGTCACAGGAGCAGGAATCAAGCCTCATGCTCACATGTTGTATTCGGACCCCTGCACACAGGTCAAATAGACTTACAGCAGGGTTATGGAACTCAACACAGCCCTGTGCTCAAGACAGATCGCTCTGTCACAGGGACCTGGGGATTTGTTGCCCATATCAACGTGCACTGCAGAGAGAGTTACAGTTGCAGCATAACGCGGTCAGAGAGCACGAGGGACCTGTTACCCCATTTAACAGCGAGGGGAGATCTCTTTCTAGTGGCTTTTCTCCCTTAGAGTCAACTGCCCAGCGCAGGAACCATTGCTTCCCATTCCTGAGCTTCTCATCAGAAATTGCCCACAGCACAAACGTCAGTGCTGCTAAAGGTCTCACAGGGACCAGGTGTGGGAGGCAGTCTCTTTTATTGGACCAACTTCTGTTGGGGAGAGATTGAGAGAGAAACTTTCGAGCTACACTGAACTATTCTTCAGGGCTGGGATACGTATTTAGTGTCCCCCAGCTAAATAGGAGGTGGAACAGATTGTTTAGCGTAAGTAGGTAACACATATTTCTCTCCCCAACAGAAGTTGGTCCAATAAAAGATCTTACCTCACCACCGTGTCTCTCTAATATCCTGGGACCGACACAGCTACAAATACACTGCATACAGGGACAAGACTAACCCCAAGAAACTAAATCCTTCATTTCCCAGCTGCCTCCTCTGCTATTGCGCCCGTGACCACCCAGAGCAGTGCAGTATCTTGACTAGAAGTGGCACCACTTGGGCCCATCACTGCAGAATAGCGAGGCACAAAGAGAAGGGATTTGTCTAAGGTCAAAGTGAGTCAAGACACAGCTGGGAACAGAATTCAGAAGTCCAGAGCCTTAGTCCACCTTCTGCTCTAGATACACTGTCCCTTGCAGGGACCAAATTCACAGCTGCTGCTCAATGCTTTGCTGCTCCATAGTCACTCACCACCTGCTTTCTGCTTCTACCTACAGCAGCGCCAGGAGTGCAAATAAGATAAGACCAAAGCAAAGGATACACTTTTGAATCCTTCTTGAAATTTTCCAGCCATTTCTTGTTGGCATCAATCATTCCTTGGACACTAGTCCTGTCTGTCTCAGGGCCTCGGAGCTGGGAATGCTGGAACAGGCGGATTTGCTCACTGTCGTGACAGAGAGAGAAAGAAAGATATGGCAAGAAATGAGCCAACGGATTAGATTGAAACTGATGGGCTGCCATGGAAATAGCCACAGCTTGATGCAACAGAAAGCAACCGCTTCTTGGCTCAGTGTCCTGCCCTCCTCTCCCCTACCAGACTGGGAAGAAGTTTCAGCAGCCACATTACTCAGCCGCTGCCATTCTCCTGGTCTCTCTAGCACCACAAAGCCTCAGTTGTTGGCAAGGACCCAGGCACCCCAGCTAACTCCATAGGAGTCTCCATTTACCCCATTATCCTCTGTCGACAGGCAGCACCATTACACTCTTCTTCAGGAAGAAAGGGGGTAGGCAGCTCCCCACTCATCCCTGCCCCTTGAGAAAAATGCAGTGTTGTTGGGTAGCAAAAGCCCAGCAGAGAGAGAGAGAGAGACAGAGAGAGAGAGACAGAGAGACTGACTCTAGGCTGATTTTCCACCTTCTTGAACTGGATTAAGATACAAGGGAGTTGAAGAGAAAGCTTGGGAAATTAAGGTGTTCCCCTCACTCCAGGTGCTGCTTAGCCAGGCACGAGTTCTATGGGCCTAGGAAAAGATTTTTAAAAGGACTGCCTTCAAGGTTCGGAAGAGCAGCTGTTCAGCAAAGGTGAAACACGAACTCTGAGCCTGGTGTAACCCAGACAGCAGAGAGCTGTGCTGCTGGGGTGGTCCTTTGCCAGTCTGGAACTACAAAATACCAAGACTTTTGCAATGGACTAGACTTGGGGGTTGTACCCACGAATCTCACAGAGCAATGAGTTAGAATGAAACGCAGTGATCCCACAAGCGTCCACTTGCAAAATGGTGACTTAAAATCGAGCAGAGCCAAGCAGCTGCAGCCCTTTTGGACTAGTCGCAGAAAGGCATTCTGGGAAAAGTTCCTGGGCGAGAGAGAGTCTGCCTACTTGGGGGATCATTACAAGAGGCCAGGGAGCCACCAGAGAAGCTGCTCCTTGGACAGGGCGTGCTTTGTGGTCATGCCTATCACCATGGCATCACAGTGGGCACTGCACCCCCAGCAATAACTCAGTTGCAGCGCTGGAGATAAGAGCCTCTTTTATTAACAGAGGGACGTGTTGCCTGGGAAAACAGGTTCATCCCCTGCTCTTTACGAAAGGTACCAAAGGATCTTTGATTTCCACCTCACCACCAGGATCTCAACAACTCAGCCAAAAAGACACTGTTGCCCTGAGTGCGGCAGCCCCTCCTACCCAGGCCTGCACTGCAGCATTGATCCTAAGTGTGAAATCACACTTGTTGTGGGACTGGAACCCATAACATTCTGGTCTTGAAACAAGAGTGCTATTGGCTGAGCCTTACTGGGAGCACTTTTGTAAAACCTGCAACTGAGCATTTAAATGGGGACCTGGCTAATAACTTAAGCTCCGAATCTAACCTATTTGATGAAACAAGTAGATCAGGAGAAAATCATATCTGACCTACAAACCACACCAAACAAAAAACAGCAGCTCTTTGAAACAGCCACACTCAAAAGACCAGGAGTCTTACCCTGCAGGTAAATAACCTAAATTGCTGTCCAGAGGGGCAGGACTTCCACTGAGCGATGGGAACCCACCTGGAAGAGACAGAAACATTCAGTACAGATATAGAAACATACATTACAGGAAAGGCTTCCATCTTCCTGGTCATTGTTTGCATTACAAGCACATTATCCCTGCATGGTGCAGTCACATGCTGAGGCCCTTTGGGCTGTGCTCGTGCGAAAGCTTGCAGCAGGATCTTCTGGTGCTTCCCCCTCTGTTTCCAGTGGGAGGCAGGGAACAAGAAACGTGCAAATTCCCCCTCCAATTCCTGTTATTTATTTTAACCTTACATCCTCCTCATCTCTAACGTCTATTGGGATCCCCCCTCAAAAATGGGACATCCCTTATTTCCACTAAGGGGAAAAATTGAATAGGAACTGCATGATTCTTGATAAGCCTTGAGGCATGAATTTTAATAGTCTATGCTCCTGGTGGTCGCCCTCTTCTGAAAGTGCTTTATTTTCCTGTTGCAAGGACTGACGCTTTCATTGCTAACACAGTCCAAAGCCAAAATGTTCCAACATGTTGCCCAAAGTTAGACACCTCAATCCATTTTCAGGCATGTGGCATAATGGCCTAATTTTCCAAAGAAACCGAGCACTGCGGTTCCCATTAATTTTAACACTATCAGGGTAGTATCCACAGTCAAGAGATAACAAATGCAGGAGACACAGTTGTGGTAAACCTGAGTTATTTCAATGGCTCAAGCAACAGATGCAAAATCTGGGAAATCAGAATTTTTGGGGGAGAATAATCAGAATTTCAGATAAACACAAGTACAGTTTCAGAGGACAGTTCTGAATTGTGGGTAATGGGAGTTTACCTACAGCATGAGGAGAACAAATTAAAGGCAGAATGACTAAATTCTGCTCTCAGAGTCGCATGCCTTGCCAGGTGACTTCAAAGACCAAGGGCAGTACTCACAACAGACTCCTCTAGGGAAGAGCATCCTCACTGACAAGAAGGAGATTGGCATACAACACAGGAGCCACTCCAGAGAGGATACAAGTCAGAATGGAGGATGGTATACGCCACAGATGGTATTACACAAACTAAGATGCAATCCCTCCATTCGCACAGATTGTGCCAGAGATACCCTGTCTGTGTTGTGCTTAAAGTTTCACCTCTAATAAAAATAAGCACCACTCTCCCAAAAGAGCCCGAGGGTTTCCTTGCCCCCAAAAGGCAGAGAAGAGGGTCTCACCCACCTGGAATCTTCCAAGTTCTCCAACACCATTTAAATGACACATGAGCAGGGGGCCTGCCACTGCCACAACCACCTAACTCAGGGCCAGGCTAGGGAGGCAGTTCCCACCCACGAAGTGAAGCAACATGGCACAAAAAACATCAGTCAATAGGCCCCATAAAAATGCTTGTCTTAAGGCCCCTTAAGGCACTTAACTATATGATTAAAGTTAAACATGGGTAAGTCCTAATGAAGTCAGTGAGACTTAGGCACGTGCTTAAGTGCTCTGTTGAATCTGGGCACGCCGGTCGAGGCCAGGGTATTATTGTTTCCTGAGTACATGCACGCGCTTCATAGACGCTGATGCCAGCAGCTGGCCCACATCAAAGCAGACCGCATCCGAAGAGGGCATATAAAATAGAACGACTAGCAAGAACTTTCAGAGTGAAAACAAACATTACGTTAATCTTGGGGCTACCATGGTTTTGCTGGCTAAGGATTAGCAGGACTAGGGGCTGGGGATTTTGTCTTTGGTTAAAAGGTTTAAACAGGATTCAAATAGAAAAGAAAAATTTGCTCTCCTAAGGAAATTATAAATTGTGAGCCACGTGTACCATCTGTCTCAACACCCCTCCCCATCAGTGTGTTTTCAGCCAAGCAGCGTAATCTAACAGAAAGTTCCTCCTCTTCTTTTGCTGGCTCCTTTAATGACTGCTATTCTTGTGCAAATGTCAGAAGCTGAAGTGCTCTGGAAACAGTATAATGAGATCAGCTTTGCACTTCACTTCCCGGAATGAGCTGTTGTTATCTCCTCTTCTTTTCAAATCTGCCACATGCCCAAGTCCAAGGAGCTACACACACCAGCTCCTTGGACTGTCTGCCACTGAAGCTCGTTGTCTATTAGGGACACAAAGTCACATTCATCTGTGATTTTCACTCTCACCTGTTGAGGTGAACGGCTGCCCACAGCACAGACTAGTCAGTCACTAGCCCTGAGCTCAGACTTGCGCAGAAGCTCCACTGGTTCTCTTTAAAGAGCTTCCATCACATTGCAGGCAATTCATCAAGCTGGCACCTCAGGAGGAGTCATTCCCCTTCAGAGTGGATGCAGAGCCAAGAGTGGGGAAGGAAGCAAAGAGTGCAGCTCTCTATTATATCCTTGCCTTCTTAACCCTCCATGAGGCCAGTCTGGGTCTATCTCCTGTCCCATCACACTTGCTTGGTCCCAGGTTTGGTTCTGGCCCTCCCCGAGTCAGGCTGCAGACCCCATATTATGCCCATTGTGTTAGCCCAGCCTGCTATAGGGAATGGAATTCTAGCTTCCCTTCCCTTCAGCAGCGATTCCCTGTGGGTATTTTCATATCCAGCACCCCTGGGCCATGTAAACTGCAGAGAGAAATTATCTTCATCTCAGAATAGCCCACACTGGGCCATCTGTCCCAAAGTGCTTCACAAACTACACTGAAATCTCTTCTGAGCAGTGAGGTCCAGCTACATCTGGAAGGGAGAGACAGAAGCCAGCATGCTGTACAACAGGGAGTCATCATGGGCAACTACCCCTCCAAAACTGCCACCAGCAGAGTCCCATAGGATCCACACCCCTCAACAGAGGGCCTCAGAAGCTGGCAAGATCCCCCAGGCCAAAGCACTAGCCAAGTGCGGACAGCACACAGCTCTACGTCTCCTTCATGTAGAACGTCAACAGTTCTATCAACAGCAAGCTGAATTCAGCACCTGGCTACAGCTGAACCCAGACAAGACTGAGGTGATGCTGGTAGAAGAGTGAGAGCTTTAAAGAACTTGACTCGTGTGTAACATCTCTTACTGCCATCGGCACTTACCTACAAATTGCTAGGTCAGTCAGCAGCAGCCCCACCCCCAGGGTCCTTCTGGATCCTTCGCTGCTACTGGTTGCTCTAAATAGGCCCCTTCCACCTGCAACTGGCCAGCAAATTTCACTCTGTCCTGTCAGAGGCAGACTTGGCCATGCTGACCCATGTGCTCATGTTCACCAGGCTTGGCCTTTGCAGCTTGTATCTAGGAGTGAAGCCGCATGCCCTGACAATTGGTACAAGGCTAGCAGCCCATCTGCTCAGCGTCACAGACCACTGAGAACATGCTGCCCTGGTGCCCAGCTGAACAGAGTCCAGTTCAAGGCCTCTGTCCTGACATTCTAAGTACTCCGTGGGATTGGCTCTGGCTACCTGGGGCACAACTCTCCCTCTACAACCTCAGCCTCCCCCTAAGGTACATTCCTGCAGAGCAAAGGAACCATCAGCCCCAGGGGAAGGCTTGGGATGCAGGACACAGACTATCACGGCAGCTGGACCAAGGTTATAAAACTTGCTCCCAGCAGAGAAAAGAGACCAGGGACTTCACGGTACTCAGAACTGAAACGACACTCACATCTTTGACTTGCCTTTCCCACGAGGTGCCACGCACACACACACAAAATCCATCAAAATGACTCAGGCCATTTCTCCTACAGGCTGGGAAGAGAGAACCTTGTTTCTTACGTTAAATACCTGGAGGAAGCGGAGATGCTATGGAAATGCAGGAAATCACTAGACAGAGCAGAAAAGAAGAACTGTGGCCAAGGACACCAAGATTCCTGCTGACATTATGGGATGGGCCATGGCATCACTAGCATCCGTGCAATACAGATGGGATCTTGTTTTATTTTTAAATAAGCTCATTCATAACATGCCCACGTAGGACTTTTCATGGAGCTCAGTTCATCTGCCTTGGAAGGATGAAGGGTGAGTTGAGTAGATTGTGCAGTGCCAGGGAGTGAGCGGAGACAACTCACTCAGCTTGGTCAAATGGGGTGTGTTCCCTTACTGAGCAGTCCCACAGGACAACACGTAAGAGGTACTTTGCTGCACTCTGGCATAGAAGTGACAGCACAAAATCAATGGCCATAGACATGATAAGCAAACCCGGAAGGAGGCGGAACTGCAGCAGACCATTACCTGGGAAATACTTGCGCCATTTCTCTGCCAGCATGTTGTCTACTGACTGACCAGCCGTAGAAGAGAGGCTGGAGTTCAAACCGGTACTCCATGCCTGCTGGTTAACCAAAGGAATCCCAGCAGGAGGCACGATGGGGCCAGCAGACTGGACTCTTGCCAAGGAGGTGTACGCGGAAAGAGGAACTCCATCACTGGGCAGAGCAGGCATCGGCACCAGCACAGAAGTGAAGAGGGGAGGCTGCTGATGGTTCAGAGAGCCCAAGGTGCCAAGGACCCCATTCAGCTCAGCGGTGATGTGCTGCAGAGTGTTGGTCAAGTGCTGGATCTTGTCGAGCTGGGGGAACTGGACATCTGGTTTCAAATCAACTAGTCAAAGAAAAAGAAAACCCAGATCAACAGAGGGACAAGATTTAAAGGAGACCTTGAGTCTATCCTCAGAGGCAGCACCATTCTCCTGCATCTCCCCACCAAGAGCACCTTATCCTCCCATGCACTCTGTCTCCAGGCTTCACAGAGGCTGAACTTTATACATTCAGCTAAGCGAGTGAGGGAGGTCTGGCTGCAGAGACAAGGGGGCAGTTCAGTTCCATGTCGAGGAGCAGAGAACTTTGGCGAGAAGGCTGGTCAGGTGTGGTGTGGAGGAGAGGAAGTTGGGGAAATGAGATGAAAAGGGACAGGATCCTGGAGATTCCAAGGATTAAACTCTGAAGGAGAAAGGAGGATACCACTGGGATGACACCAACCACTGGGATGGCAGAGCTGAAATATGGCTTGCAGCACAAGCATAAGTGCGCTTCTGTCCTTCCTGCCCACTACAAATTTATGAGCAGGGCCAGAGCAGCGAGTGCACTTCCACTGGGCGCCGCGACAGCCGCCCATTTGTAGGGCGTGGACTTCCCCTGCAAATGGCTAGCTCTTTGCAGAGCAGCACAAAGCCTGCTCACTACACTGAGATGTACAAGAACACTGAAATACTGGAACAGCAGGAGCCTGATATGTTTCAATAATCAAACCGTACACAAACTGAGCAGGGAGACAGAGTGGACGGATTGCACTCCACAGGTGCACATCACAAAGAAACCTGGTGCTGTGGGAAGGTTAGAGGCAGGACTGTGGGGATTTTATCAATATGAAAACCTTCATTCTAGGGAGGGAGAAGGTTCTAAAACTTTTTGGATTCTTACAGATAGTTCAATTTTTTTTTTTTTAAATGAGGGTGAATTCGTAGCCATCAGCCTGGCCAGCACCTCTGGAAAAAGCACAGTCTTCCTGCATGGTTACCCATTTACTGAGCGCTCCACTATTCACACACACTGCTCTAATCACGGGACAGTAAAGAACTATTCCTTGTGCCTTGCTCCTGTTGGGATTGCAACAGCCTCTCTCACCAAGGAGACAGGGAGAGGAAAGAAACCCAGTCCACCAAACTGGACTGGCGGACACCAAGAAATAGGGCAATAGACCTGGCTCTAGCATCGCTGGGGAAGGCTGAAGGTTTCTGGCACCACAGTGAAAACCATGTTTTTTAAGCCACATTCATAATCCACATACGCACAGTGCTACAGGCAGGAAACAATTCTTGGTACAAAATATTGTGCCTCGAGTGCTGGCATAAACAGCACACCTGTCCTACATGCTTTAGAGTTTAACGGGCACAAGCGAAAACAAGACAAGGCAGGGACTAGGAATACACAGTGGGAGGGATGGGTGATGCAGAATGTCAAATATTGGGTACAATGCACAAAGCTCTGAAATGCGGCCCGTGGCATTCTACAAGAGACACTGAACCCTTACATTTGTGCTGAGATACATCTGTGCTGCTCAGGCTGTTTGTGTCTTCTGAATCACTAAGGTCAAAGGTTACCACCTTTTTACATGCAGCACCCTTCAGCGTATCTTCATCAGAAAGCTGCCAAGAGAAGGAAATATTTACAGTAGAGGAAAATAAAATATGATCTGCTACACACTTCTGTCCCTTGGGAAACCAAACCAGGTCTAAAGCTTCTGTGACTCCAAGCTAGATATCCCATAACGGCTCTCACAGGCTGCGCTTGGAGTGTTATGAAACATGTGAAGATAGCAGTACAAACGTGGTTCCCTGCTCCTGGGTCAGCAGAGGCTGGGAGTGTTGCAAAGGGAGACAGCTCAGTCTGTGGAGGGGGTGGGTTGTGTTGGGGACTGAACATTACAATTTCGGCAGTGACTCCCTGGAGTCAGAAATCATAAGGCCCAGCATGAGGTGAGTAGGCAGGGAGGTCTCTCCATTAAGAGCTTGACTTTCAAAGATGTTGTGCTCTTCAAATCTCCCACTGATCCTGGGCCTATGGAACTCACCCAAGTCACTGACAGAGCCGGGAACATTGTCCAGGAGCACTGGCTCCCAGATACCTCCCTTAGCATCTAGGATGGCCTACTGGCTAACAGTACTCACTAGCCAACGTGTCCTCGGCTTCTGAAGACACCAATAACCAAGTATTTTTCCTGCTTACTTACCACAGAAACCCCATGGTCACACAATTAAATGGTGAGCAGGTACCATGCAAGCCAAGGGAATGTACAGTATCTGTAATCTCACCCATGTAGACAGTTAATATAACCTCTGTTTAACCAGCACGAAAATGGGATTTTTCTATGTTTTAGTGCATCAGAGCCAGAACTGACTCACTTCTAGCCTCATGGGCTAATTCTGAAGGAAGAATCATTCATTCTGCTCTAACAACTGTGCTTTTTCCACTCAGCTTCTTAACTAAAAACAGAAGCCTGCCTGGCAAGCTGCTCACATCAGAGAAGCCCTCCATCCCCCAGCCCCTCTTGGCTACACAGCTAGTGAATCATGTGGAATCTTGCCAGTTTGGTTTGTAGTTCCTTGCAGACCTGTGACCAGCCTCCTCTCCCCACTGTGCTCACACACAGGCAAACAGATGCCAGCCAGCTCGCAAAGCAATCCAGCTCCAGCCACCAACCCTCAGCCTTCAATTAAACGTCCCTCACTGGAACCGAAATCCCTATGAAGTCCCCTCATTAGGGAGTGAATCTGGCTTTCTCTGGACGCTGCTCTGTGGGTGTGTGGCTGGTTAACGCCAAGTGATTGAGATGCTGGCAGTTACCTCTTCCAGCAGCGAAGACTCCAGTTGGCTCAGCTTCTCTTCCTTCTTCTTCAGCAGCACCTGTCCTTTCCGCATGGCCGACTTCATCTTGTCCAGCTGCTCTGATTCCTGCCATGGAGCAACCACCCAGCCAGGGAGGAGAATTTAATCAGAGTGATGGGAAATAATCGTTTTTTCTGATTTGGATTTTTTCATCATTTAAATAATTTTAACCCAACGCAGAAGATGGTGATCCTGGAGTCGCAACACAGCCCAAACCCCTAACAGCACAGGAGGGAAGGGTGCGGGAAACTCTTATGCTTCTCGACAAAAGAAAGCTACAGCTCCCAACCTGCCCTTTCCACAAAGCCAACTGCTTTGGTTCTACATTTTCAGCCAGCCACTTGTTCTCACTGGAAATCCCATAGCAGCGTGTGGATAACAGTTGAGGTGCTAACCCCCTGGTATCCCGACCAAATTACAGTCTGAGTAATTACATCCTGCAGACCCTAACTTTCAGTCACACCGGAGAGAGGATTCTTCTTCACTTCCTGTTCCAAATGTTATGGAGGGATGCTGAGCACTACGAAGCAGCCTGCAAGCATCACACCAGAGGCCGTGGCATGATCCCAGTCTAGAGTCTGTGTATGAGCTCATTTAGCAAATGCTTTAGGATCCATCCACAAAGAAGTGTAAAAGAATTGCAAAACCACAGCTACAGAACTGCGGGCACTAGAATTACCATGAGTTGCTCATCCCTTCCTTTGCAATTTGCAGAAGATTCTGTGATGTGGCAACACTCTGGAGGATCTGTCATTTTACAGAATGTCCAAATTCACGTATTTCATCCATTTAGGATGAAATGGAGTTAGGTTTTTATCAAGCTAGCTTCTCAGGTGATAAAAGTACCACATTGCATATTCTAGCAGAGGCTCAAAGGGCTTTACAAACGTTAATGAATTAATCTCTACGGCCACCCTGAGAGGCAGGGGAGAATTTTAATCCCTGTCACACAGGTGAGGAAGATGATGTGCATAGCTGAACGGTAACTCTGGGTGCCCATCTTGAGACACACAGGGGCTGATTTCCAGGAGGACGAGCACCTCCAGCGTCAAGTGCAGTTGTGGGTACTCGACATCTCTGAGAAGAGTCAGGTCCTGCCTGTCTGAAGTTGGGCTCCCAAACTCAGGGGCCACTCTCAAAAACCTGAGGCTTAGTGGCTTGGCCAACGGCACACAGGAAGTTCATAGCAGAGACAAGAACACGCTTTGTCGCTGGGCCCCCACCCCTGGGCCAGAACCACAATGCCACCCGAGTCTCAGAACACAGGGCTGCCAGCTCACCTCCTCCAAGTTCCGGCACACGTCCTCCAAGAGCTGAGAGCTACCCGGACCCTGCACCGCGTCCCGTGCCTGCTGCATGCTGTGACGCCACTGTTGCGTTGCAGCTTTCAGTGCAGCGTGCCTTTTCCTCATGGAGCGAGTCTGACGCACCAGGAACTCCTTGGCGTTCCTTATGGAGACTCCTTCTGCAGAAATGTAGCGTCTGACACTGCAGGAAGGAATCAAGGGAGAGAGCTTTCAAAGGCCATTATCCTGGAAACATGTCAGTGCTGCTCTCGGACATCAGGAATTTCCCAGTGATTTTGGAGGCTGGTTTTCTACCCAACTTGAATAAACCGGGTAAGTATGATAAAAACCCTCAGAGTTAACAGGGTTACTTCTCCTGCACAACATAGGCCTCGGAGATGCAGTCAAGAAGCATGCCAGGCCCTTTCTGTAGCTGCAACAGCCTTGCGCACCAGCCATGACCCGCAATTCATTGACGCATCCGCTGACGGCTGCACTATTCCAGGTGCTATAAGCCATCAAGTCATGATGCTCTGTGGCAGGGGGCAGCACGGCACTCAGCCTTGTTCTCCTAGGCTGTGCATTCCATACTGCACCTCTGACAATACCTTCTCCTTACACAGCATCTCGTCGACGTGTTACATTTACACACAACCGCACGGACAGCAATTTTCAAAATGGCCTGTGTGCTGATGCTTACTTATCAAGCTGGAAGTCACCGTCCTCATTGCTGTGCGAGGTTAAGGAAGCAGGCTCTCTGGAGGAGTGCTAGAGGGTTTAAACATTTCAAAATCAATTAATATGCGAATGAAGGAAGAACCTCATAAGCCCAGGAGAACGAGAGTATAGAGCGTGAATGACAGCAGCATGCAAACTGCCCTAGGAATAGCCCAGTGCAGAGGAGTGTTTCTCTATGGGAACACTTTAAAAATCAAAGATATCCTTCCCTGCCCAAGAGCTGCTTTCTTCCCCAAGTTCCCCAGCCCACTTTTGAACAAGAGCACCCCAAACCTCCTCAGCCAAATGCGCAACAAAGGTAACAAAACCAGAGCAACACATTCCTTTTCTATTTTGAAGGACAAAACCCCTGCAAATAATGTCAGCAAATAGGAGTAAATCAGGAGTTCAGATCTGTTCCTTTGGGGGCTAGGGGAGGGAATGGAACTATAAGGCTCTGGAAAGGGGCATTTCAATGCAACACTTTACTGCTTTGAAGTGACACAAGTGATACACTAAAGCCCTTGTCCACATCAAAATGAGAAACAAGAAATCTAGTCCCAGGTATCTCACTGCCCTGCTGAAAAGACTCAGGGAATCCTCTGCCTGTTGAAACACACGCAGCTATGGGAATCAGAAAAGCAGCTATCGTTACTGCGTGCTCAATATGAGCATCTTTGAGCAGACACCGATAGCACCCAAGACCTCAGGGGAGCCTAGGACCAGCAGTAATCACCTTGGAAATGCCAAGGATCTAGTGGAACAGGTGACCTTTGGGAGACGCTCTATGATTACATTCCCTGGGGTATATAAATGGGATGACGAAAGCACCAGAGAAATGAACATACAGACTAATAACACCGTGCATGGCAGTGGCTTCTCCCATTCAGGAACCCAAAGCACTGTACGAACAATCACTAAAATGATGAAGTGAGCTGCCTGCCGGGATGGAACAGATCTTAGGCAGAGCCAGAAATAGGATTCCTGGCTGCTGTCCTGTGTCCTCTGTCACTAGACTTTGCTTCCGTTAATTTAATCAAACAAATAACCCTTCCCACCTGCAACAATAACCACCCATCTCTGCATCTATGAGCCGGAACAGGCAGCAAAGAACCTAGTCAGGATTTTCAAAGGGACCTAAGGGAGTTATGTGCACACTCCCTCTAATTTGGGAGCCTTTGAAAGGCACAAACACACACCAACCTCCATGGGGAGCTCAAATACACAGGCTTTTACTCACAGCTCGAAGTGTCTCTCTCAGGTCTTCAATGTGGAGCTCAGCTTCCCTCCTGGGAGACGCCACGCTGTCTTCGGCTACCAGCTCCTTCAGGGTCTCCTGTTGGCTCTTGACTGCGGCCTCCAGTTCACTGTCACAGATGTCCACAATGTGCGGTGGGGGGTGGGGGAACATGCCATCAACATACAGAACAGACAGGGACACAGAGCCATGCTACCCACAAGAATTCACAACACTTTGCAGGAATCAAATCTCCTTGAACACCTCAAACTGGCTCCTGCTTACAATCTCCCAAAGGGAAAATACCAGGGACTTCATGCTCTGCAGATCCAGGCCATTAGGAAGGGTGCCTGGGTATAATGCTGGGTAGCCAGGACACTGCCTACTGCTGTTTACACACAGGGTCCTACAGCTACAGGCTGAGAAGTGTTGCTGGATAAACTACTGAGTTTGTGTCCAACAAAGTAAATATCAGGTCTACACGAATATTTTAATGTAATAAAGACCACCGGCTACTTGGGACAATAGCAGGTTTATGCCAATGTACACCCTTAAAAACAGGAACAAGGAAGCATGCCACCCAGAGGTCTCAGAAAGGTCTTTTCTAGAGTCTGTCAGTCACCCAAGGTTCTCAAAGCATTTACGAACATTTCCTCATAAGCCAGCTTTGAGGAAAATGAATGCTAGATACATGCTTCAGAGGGTGAACCTGAGGCCCACAGAGGTTAAGTGACTTAAACCAACCTTGCACATGAGTCATGGCAGCCCTAGGAACAGAAAGCAGGAATTCTATCCCCCAGCACCCTGCTCTAACATCTAGCAACACTGCCCCTCATAAATCTGGCACAAATCTGAAGCACCACCATTTAAGAAGGTCAGTGGCAGAGGGTGGGGTGGGTGTGTAAATACGAGCATCAGAGACCATCTCTAGGACACCCACCTGATCCGTTTCTGCAGCCTTTGGCTTCGGGTCTGCAACAGATCCACCTGGGACTCCAGCTCAGCTTTCTGGTCTTGAAGCTCCTCCAGAGTCCTGCGCAACTGGTGGATGGATTCCACAAGGTCAGCATGCTCTTTCCTAGACGCCTCTAGGCGGAGCTGAGCAGCTGAAGCAGCTTCCTGGAAGTGAAATTAAAATCACTCTCTCGTTTCCCCAGCACAGAAATACAAGCACACAACATGCAAGAGACGCGAGTGCTGCATGCAGAGCTTGCAGGGCAATGGAAGTTAAGTGTGCAAAAAACCTTCGTCAAACCTGTGTTTTTGTGTGGTCTTTGTCCCTGCTTTTCCATACCCAGAAATGGCCCCGACCTGGAATCTCCAGATCTGAACAGCCATGAGCTTGCTGGGAAATCTGGTTCCAGACCTGGATTATGCCTAGTACATACAACACTTGGATGCTGTTGGCAGCAAGATGGAGGACTCAGGGGAAATTACAAACCTGACTGCAGTAGTTCAGACTGAAGCTCAGCAGCCAGGGTTCCTGCAGCTGTCATGCCCACACTCATCCTTCTCCCTCACTCCCAATGCACTGCAGCCATCTCCTGGCGTTGCAGGAGGAGAGAAGAGGCAAAGCCCAAGTAATTGACACAAGCACGGACTCTGTTCTCCATTTTGGAACACGGGATGGGGAGGAGCCTGAACGGCTCACACTGACACCGACCCATTGGCTTCCTTCCATGGAGGCCTTGTCCTCATCTGCCTACAATGCCTATCGCATCTTGTGCCATATGCTTAATGCATCCTCCCAAGAGATGGCCTGACTGGTGTCCGCTCCCCCATGGGTAAACTATAGCACTAGAGATGGAAGAGCTCAACCATGTCCCATCTAGTCCTCCTCCTCCTCGGGGGTCAACAGAGGATTGCCCCCTGCAGTGCAGTGCTCCCATTGCTCCCAGGAGGAAGCAGCAGTCTGCTAAATCTCAATGTTCGGAAGCTTTCCTCGATACCTCATGCATTTACGTTTGTTCAGATCTACCCCATTACTCCTTGTCCATGTCCCTCTGCCCACTCTAAGCACCCGTCTCCCTCCCTGCTGCGCATGCCCTTCACAGCAGAGCAGACAGTTAGGTTACGGTGTAACTCCAGGAGCCATTTCCGTGGTGCACAACCACTCGATTTTGCTTAACTCCTGCCCATACACCTGCAATAACCTCAAAGCCCACACTGGAGTTGCAGCACTATCACCCCTCCATAACATGTGGAATGCCCATCAGCACCAGGCAAAGGCAGGCAGACAGTAGGACATGCCCAGCCCTTTCTGGGAACGTGCAGAGAAAGGGAGTCAACATGCTTCCCAGGAGTGTCCAAGCTACTCCACGGGCTATTCCTCAGCTTGGCTTTGGAGACTTCTAGCCCCAGTTCAAGCTAGCCCCTCACACTGCATGGTGCCATCCGCCAACCTCTTGGCCTCGTCCCACCCACCCATGGGACGTTCTAAAATTAACAGAGTGGTTAGAGGCTAGAGTTTTCACAACCCAGTGAGATTAAAAAGCAACAGATGCAGTAGTTAGCCTCCTTGTTCCTGGCAAGGAGCATGTGGGTCCAGACAAGCAAACCCTGTTCTCCATAAAGCAGAGCCGTGTGCAGTAACCTCTCCCTTTGCACCATGATGAAATGCACTCCCAGCTAATCAGTCTGCCAACAATACAGTGCTCCTCTCTGAAGCAGAACCGTAAGGGGGGTGTTCAGATCTAGGACTCAAGAGTTATTTCTGAGCTTGTTTTTAAAGCCACTGTGCTGATCTGCTCTAGTGTTTCACACATACAACGAATCATTGGGCAGCAGCTCCTTCCGAGAGCTGGAGCATACGTACATTTCTCTGCAGCTCAGTTTTTCTCTCTTCATCCAGAAGCTGCTGCCTTTTCTTTCTCATGGCCTCTTCCTGCATAGAGAAGTGAAGAGCAAACCAGTGAATGCTGGAGCATCATGACACAAGGCACAGAAGCAAGTTGACTCTAGAACACTGTTGGTTTTGGGGTCAAGTCTCGGCATGACACAGCCCCAACTTTCAAGGCCACTGGGAAATACTTCAGCAATGTTTCCACTCTTTCACTGATCTCTCCCCATTCATTTTGACCTTTCCCCAGTATCTTGAATGTGAAATTAAACAGGGCTGTTTGGGTAGCTCCCTCCTTTGTGTGCTTGGCCCCACAACACCAACTACGTTCCATGGCACTGAGAGCAGGGCTGGCTAATCAACGCAAGCCCTTCAGAATGTCCCAATGCTCCATTTTCCCAGGGCTTCAGCAAGCCGGGAGCCTGAAACCTGCTGTTGCTTGTGGGAAGAGCAGATTGCCCTGCTCAGCTACACAGACATGGAAGAATTCCCCATAGTGTAGTATCTTACTGTCCTGCAGCCACACAGCTTTCCATCTCCAGCACTGCTCAGTTCCCTTCCCTTCCTTTCATAAGCATCCTCTCTCAAATACTGTTTATCAAATCGAGAGATAATAGAAGCAGAGGTATCTATAGCCTTTATAACAATCCAGGGATTCAGGTTTTTGCCAGCCAAGGACACATAGCCAGAGATTTCTGCCAGCTCAACGGGACGGCCTTCTCTCTCTCTCTCTCTCGTACTGAAGAGAGCCCATTTTGCTTTCCAAAAGCCAGAAATTGCTTGTTAGTTTTGCCCTGCAGTACAGGTGGGGAATAGGACCCAGTCCGAAATCAAAAGTGACCCTGAGAATGACATACTTCCATGACACCAGGCTTTGCGCGGCCCCTTACCCTACACAAGTATTCCCCCAAAGCAAGGCAGAAAGCCCAAGGCACTGGCTCTGATAAAGAGGGGCATGATACATGGAGGCTGGGATTTCCAGGGGCATTCAGCACTGACCCAGTTCTGCTCCCCAGTCCTTCCTGTGACTTTAATGGGTGCAGTTAGGCACACTGACCAGTCCCCCCAACAAGGAATAGGGGGAGATGAGAAGTGCCAGTTAGGAAACTTTCAAAATGCCCTGTAGGACTGACTCACCTGGTGATTCAGCTGAGCACATCTGGCCTTGGCATCTTTTGCTCGCATTTCGAGTTCCATTTCCAACTCCTGGACTTTTTGTTCCTGTGCAGAACAAGGAGCCTGACATGAGGGGTTTGCTGAGCCAAACTTCACCACAAGATAAAACAGCAACGATCTCTGAAAATGGACCTTGTGACACGCTGGTCTCCTGAGACCAGCGCACATACTCATGGAGCCAGAGACCATGGTCTATTCCAGGCAGAGCTGACAGTAGCTATGGTAGAAATGGAAGTTACCACTCACCTTCGCCTTGTGGCTCTGCCGCAAGTCACTGAGCTGCTCATCCAGCTGCTTCTGCAAAGCCCGCAGCTCCCCATCATGGAGCTGTCTCAGGCGCTCCAGCTCCCCTTTCAGCACCTCGAGCTTCTTGGCTCTTTGCTTTCTCTCCTCCCAGATGCAAAACCAAGAAAGAAGAGCAAGCAGAGGTGTAGAGGTCTATAGCAACATCACATGCATATGTGCTCTCTCCCCCACCACCTCCACAGACATGCACACACTGTCTCCCCCACCCTGTGGGCAAGCAGCCCACCACCGAACAGTCTGAGAAGCAGATGGATTAATTGGATCGGACCACAATCTCTTACAGGCAAGGCAACATTGAGAGAAACAGGTCAGAGAAAGAGGAAATCACCTTTTCATTGCAAAGGGAGCACACAGTTCTACACATGCCCATTAGTGATTCTGTAATCTGAAACTGGAGGCATAGAGATATTCAAGGCCAAGTTTTCTGATGGAGGCACAACAGATGCATCTGCAAAGAACTGTGCACTTGTTTCTTGTGCAAAAATTCACGTGTGCATGCACAAGTCAGGTGTAGACACAAAGGAGGCACACCCATCCGGGACACTTTCCTTCAGAGCCTTGGCCCTAGACTCATTCCAGGTTGTGATACTGCTGCTCAACGGAAAAAGACTGGCTTGGCCATCTACCACCTGGCATGGTTCCAACCCTTAGACTTGCTGTACGAGGGGCAGATCTGGACTGTCACTATGGGGCTCCTGGTAACTATTTCTGGGACAATGAGCCAATCGCTAAGGACATCTACAGGCTGACTGTGGCTCTCAGCAGCATTACCTCCTCCTCGTACTGATCCTGAATCCTAGCCAGGATTTCCTGATGCTCCTCTTTCATCCTCTCCATTTTCCGGTCATGGTCTTTCTCCACTTCCTGGCGTTTCTCTTTCATGAGCTCACTGAGCTGCAGTGGTCACAGAGGCAGACCGCATTACATCACGGTAAGGCACGATTCCCCCCGCAGAGCAGCAACTCCCAACATGCACTGCTGCTCCAGCAACGCTGAAGCATCTCAGCACTGAGATTAGGGCGGCCCTGGTGCACTCATTGTCCAGCTGGTGGTGCAGGGGTAAGCACAGAGGTAAGAAACTCAGTCTGCAGTGGTATGGAACTTACCTGATCTATGGCATACCTCTCCACCACGAGACAGGAAGACTTTAAACCAAGCTCTCACAACCACGGCTAAGCATGCATATGCGGGGGAGGGGCAAGACAGGGGAATCGACCTCCAAGGCTGTTGCACAAAAGTAATCACCTCTCGCTCAAACTCTGCTACTCGATACATTTTTTGCTGCACTTTTTGCTCTGCTCTCTCCAATTCCTCGTGCAGCTGGGCCTCCTCACTCCTCTGGGCCTCTGCTATTTGCTTCCGGAGGCTGGAAACAACCTGCCACAAAAGAAACCAGGGAGTCATTTTGGTCTTCAGATATGGCCACCTCACTGTATACAGCATGGCAAAAATCAGTGTACTCAGGCTCGCCTCTCCCTGACTGGAGCATGCCCAAGTGCTGATCCAGATAAGAATCACCTTTCGGGGGTGGAAGAAACTGCACCAATGACATTTAGGGAAGCTATTAAGTGCAGAATTATTACAGATTTCTTATAAGTTTTAGCAACACTGGCTTTTACCTTTTGGTGTTTCTCTTCTGCTGTAGATTTCAACTCCTGGAGCTCAGCTGCAAACTGCTTCTCTAGCACTTCTGCAGCCTGCAGGAGAGTCAACAAAGTCCTGCTTGAAAAACCCCATTTCATGTGAAGGTGATGTACAAATGCCCTGTTTCAGTCAGCGATTTATACATAACCTTTGAGAACATGCAAGGCTCATACCCTTTCCAGTCTGAGCTGCACTCAAGGTATCTGGAGTGTCCTGAATTTACTGCCACCAATGAGACACACTATTGGAACAGCGCATTGGCTACAAGGAACTAGTTCTCTTTTTAAAAAAGACAAAGCCTATGGGGATGGTAACAGAGTTTCCACCATCGCTCTAGTGGCCTGAGTTTCCCTTCTCACACGGAGTTCCTCGATAACTCACCATAACACTCCAGTCATAATTAAAATACTCCTTTTCTGGGCTTCAATTTATTTAGGCCTTACACAGATTCATACTGCACACCAGCTTCACCCATCTGGCTACTGGTTTCAGAATTCAAAACAGTTCTCTCTCCTCGAGACAGGAGTTCCTAGCCTTTGTTCCCAGAGCTGAGTTATCATTCAAACAGTCCCTTTACTATGTGCAGGAGCCGGTGCTGCTCCCTGCAGATGCTTCCTCAAGCTAGCTACAGCTTCCCAGTCTTCTGCCCTGCCTGGGCCTCCTAGCTCTCTGCCACCGCTTCCACTAGCCCTTTCCTGCTCCCCTTTGGCTTCCTCTAGAGCTGCCCTCTGTCAGCTCCCATCAAGGCTGTTAATGAGCACAGGTGGACCTAATAAAGAGCCTGTCACAGTAGCACCCTTAATTTCAATGGCTGCCTGAGCCTTCTGGGGGACAGATAGAGGGAGGGCATATCCAGATCTGGGGAAAATGGCTTGCTTTGGCCAGGCGAGGGTTCATTTCATCTGAATCCGTTTGCCCATGTAAACAGAACTCATGATTAGGACTCGCAGCTCCCGTGTCTTACCTTCAACACTCCTGTTACTGTACCCTAGAATGAAATTAGCCTTTCTGACGACTGCATCCCATCGTTGACGCGTATTCAGCCTGTGATCCATTATAACGTTCAAATCCTTTTCAACAGTGCTACCACCTGGCCATTTTGTAGATGGGCATTTGATTTTTTCTTTCTAGGTGTAATACTTTGTACTTGTCTATTGAATTTCATCTTCTTGAATTCAGAGCAATTCCCCAATTTGTCATGGTTGTTTTCCATTCTAACCCTGTCCTCCCAAGTGCTAGTAGCCTCTCCCAGCTTCATGTCAGCCTCAGATTTTATAAGCATTTTCTCCACTCTATTATCCAAGTCATTCATGAAAATATTGACGAGTAGCAGACCCAGGACAGAGCCCTCCAGGGCCTGGCCACATGTGTGTCCCCAGTTTGACAGCAAACCATTGGTAACTACTCTTTGAGTACAATCTTTCAACTAGTTGTGCACCCACCTTCTAGTAATTTCACACAGACCACATTTCCCTTCTTTATGAGAATGTTATATGGGACTGTGCCAAAAGCCTCACTAAAACGATACACTTGAAAGCAGAGATCTGTTATTTAGAATCGAAGCTATCAGAGATGGGAAGAGACTGACTAGGTCAGGCCTAGTCCTTCCAATACCACAATGTATTCTCCATGCTGATTTTTCAACATCAAGGGGGTTTCCACCCACTTCTTTCAAGACTGTTCCAGTCAGAGACGTCTCACCATTACTCAGCTTGTGCAGCTATGCAGGTTAAGTGTTATTTCCAGTTATAGTGCCTAGAGCCCACAAGCATGTTTGGTGCATCACAGAATGCACAAGAGATTCCCGACACCCCTAACCAATTACTCTGCCCCAGCCTACACCCTGCAGCTACTCACACAGCTCTCACAGGTACAGTCAGTCTTCACCTGGCCCAGCTGCAGGCAAGGATTTCTGCCCGAACCAGCATGCACCTCTTACCAAACATAAAGAACAATAGGTCTTGAAACCAGGGAGTCTTTGAGATTGTAAGGTGGTTCATCGCCTGGGCATCTGCCCCAAGGACCATGCATTTGGTAGGAAACGATTAGAAGCATCTCCATTATGTTCCCCAGCACTTTGTAGTATCAGCATTTATAGAAAACTATTGCCCAATCTCATGCAGGTGCTATTTGATCTCATGGGGTTGGCAATACAATACAAGCCTTCTCAGTTTTGACTCTGCCTGGTAAAAATGCGAGTTTCACCTCTTTTCTTTCTCTTTCTAATCTCTCCTTTAACTCATTCAGGACTCGCTCCTTCTCCTGTTCCAGCTCTGTCGCTTCTCTCTGCTGCGCTTCCTCCACTTCCACCTTCAGCATCTCCAAAACACGCTTCTTCCTCTCCTCCAAGCTCTCCCTCTCCACCTTCTGAAGGGACTCCCATTCCTCTCTCAGCTTTTGCAATGCAGCCTCTTGCTCAGCCCTGGTAGATTTGTGATAAGCGGTAAGACGACACAGGTAAGTAGGTCAGTCATATTGCAATACTGCATTTCATTTAGCAACCAAACTTGCAATAGGAATACATGGTACAAGTGAAAATTGCAAGCCTAAAGACATGAACAAAAGCAAACTCGGGTTCTCAAACATGAGTCAAGTAACGTGTTACCTAAAATGTATGCCTTGGCAATGGATAATTAGGCAGCCTGGCAAAGAACAAAGGCAGCTATTAGACTATTTGTAGTCTACGTTTAATACAGGGTGTGTGTGTGGGCGCACGCGCGCCTCTCTCTCTCTATGCATATAAAAAGTAGAGATGAAAATTGTGCTCATGTTTTTTTCAATTCCTGCCCTTGCCTATCTCCTCCAACTCTCATTAGTCTTGATGCCCCTCAAAGAGCTAGAGAAGAGGTCTACTCAATCCAACCATCTCCTCAAGCATCCTAATCACAAGGGACAGTGCAACTCACTTGTGCGGGGAAGGGAAGGGGGTTTCATTCACAGCCCTCAGGTCACCAAAAGAGATGTCTCTATGGGAGGGAGGGGGTAAAGCAGCAGCAGGGAGTCTCAGAGTCGAGGTCAGTTGAGTCGGGCCATGCTGTGAGGCTGAAAAGAGCAGTGTAGACATTCAAGGTTGGGCTGCAGCCCGGGCGCATAGAGACCCTCTGCCACACGACCTTTTTGTTTTGTTTTAGAGTAACAGCCGTGTTAGCCTGTATTCGCAAAAAGAAAAGGAGGACTTGTGGCACCTTAGAGACTAACCAATTTATTTGAGCATAAGCTTTCGTGAGCTACAGCTCACTTCATTGGATAATCAAGGTGGGCCATTTGCAGCACAAATCCAGGGTTTCACAAGAATGTCGCGGGGGAGGGGAGGGGAGGAAAAAACAAGGGGAAATAGGTTACCCTGCATAATGACTTAGCCACTCCCAGTCTCTATTCAAGCCTAAGTTAATTGTATCCAATTTGCAAATGAATTCCAATTCAACAGTCTCTTGCTGGAGTCTGGATTTGAAGGTTTTTTTGTTGTAATATCGCAACTTTCATGTCTGTAATTGCATGACCAGAGAGATTGAAGTGTTCTCCGACTGGTTTATGAATGTTATAATTCTTGACATCTGATTTGTGTCCATTTATTCTTTTACGTAGAGATTGTCCGGTTTGACCAATGTACATGGCAGAGGGGCATTGCTGGCACATGATGGCATATATCACATTGGTGGATGTGCAGGTGAACGAGCCTCTGATAGTGTGGCTGATGTGATTAGGCCCTGTGATGGTGTCCCCTGAATAGATATGTGGGCACAGCTGGCAACGGGCTTTGTTGCAAGGATAGGTTCCTGGGTTAGTGGTTCTGTTGTGTGGTATGTGGTTGCTGGTGAGTATTTGCTTCAGGTTGGGGGGCTGTCTGTAGGCAAGGACTGGCCTGTCTCCCAAGATTTGTGAGAGTGTTAGGTCAAACCTTGGATTTGTGCTGGAAATGGCCCACCTTGATTATCATACACATTGTAAGGAGAGTGGTCACTTTAGATAAGCTATTACCAACAGGAGAGTGGGTTTGTGTGTGTGTGGGGTGGTGGGGGGGGGAGGACTTGGATTTGTGCTGGAGATGGCCCAACTTGATCATCATACACATTGTAAGGAGAGTGGTCACTTTAGATAAGCTATTACCAACAGGAGAGTGGGTTTGTGTGTGTGGGGGGGGGGGTACCTGGATTTGTGCTGGAAATGGCCCAACTTGATCATCATACACATTGTAAGGAGAGTAATCACTTTAGATAAGCTATTACCAGCAGGAGAGTGGGGTGAGGGGAGGTATTTTTTCATGCTTTGTGTGTATATAAAAAGATCTTCTACACTTTCCACAGTATGCATCCGATGAAGCGAGCTGTAGCTCACGAAAGCTTATGCTCAAATAAATTGGTTAGTCTCTAAGATGCCACAAGTACTCCTTTTCTTTTTGTTTTGTTGGCTATGTAGACATACTCGGACAGGCTGAGCCATCCAAAAGAAATCAGAAGATACACATTACAAAGGCATCCTCCTATATGATGTTGCTATTGCTCATTTCCATACCCACTGACCTCTTCTGCTTTAGAAAGTACAAGGGGCACCAAGAAAGCTGGCCAGTTTTGCCACACACAAACAGATACATTTACCTCAATGTTTGCAGTGTTATGAGTATTCCCCAGTACTTACTATAAGGGAACCCTGTCAATACTGAGATTAAACCATCTAGTTAGCCGGGGCATCATCTACAGTAACTGCACATTTGTAAGTGTGGCCACTCTGCTGCCTGATAGCGGGCCGGGTTTCTATTTACAGGGAGCAAAGGGAAGGCTCACACCCACAGCTTTACACAGCTTGCACTGGTTTCAGAGTAACAGCCGTGTTAGTCTGTATTCGCAAAAAGAAAAGGAGTACTTGTGGCACCTTAGAGACTAACCAATTTATTTGAGCATGAGCACGAAAGCTCATGCTCAAATAAATTGGTTAGTCTCTAAGGTGCCACAAGTACAGCTTGCACTGAATTTTTCACCTTATTTTCTCCTTTTCTGTCTCAGTCTCTGAGCTGATCTGGGCTCGTAGCTTTGAGAGTTTCTCGACCTCTTCCTCTCTCATTCGCAGCTCTTCCTCCTCAGAAGCCTTCGCCAGCTCCTCTTTAAGAGACCTGCATGACCAGCAGCAGGAAAAGAGATTCAGAGGTTTTAACAACCTTAACCAACTTCCCTCTGAGACCCATAGATCAGATGCTGGTTCCTGTAGGTGTTATCAGCCTGTCTGAAGCTCTCCCAAGCATTGGAGTCCCATTTGTTGTCCTCATGCATTAAAATTTGGCTCCTGGGCACAAAAGAACCTGGGAGGGTTCAAAGTTCTGCAGCACTCTTTCAAAATAGCCTAAAGAATCCAAGGCCCGGGGTGGGGTAGTGTGTCCCTGGATTCCAACAGGAAATTCCTGCGACAGGAGTTCTTTTTTCAATAAAGTCACGTAGTGCTGTGAAAGCTGAAAATGAAAAGATGTCCCCAGATGGCTGGCTGGATCCATTAGCAGCAATTTGGGCTTTGTGTTCTCGCAACAAATTCTTTTTATGCTGCTTCCAGGCACCCTTTCTACTACAAATCCCTTGTCTTGTTCCTTGGCTTCTCTCCCCATCTCCTCTGGGTGCTCCATCTTCCACTCCTCCAACAACAAATTATTAAACAATCAATTTATGAGCACTGAGAGGATAATAGGGTTACAAGGAATAGCCAGCATGGATTTGTCAAGAACTAATCATGCTAGACCAACCTAATTTCCTTTTTTGACAGGATTACTAACTTAGTGGATGGCGGGGGAGGGTCAGAGGGGAAGGAGCAGGAAGCAGTAGATGTGATATTTTGATTTTGGTATAGCTTTTGACACTGTCCCATGTGATATTCTCATAAACAAACTAGGGAAATATGGTCTAGGTGGGTGCAAGACTGGTTGAAAAACTACTCCAAGAGTAGTTACCTCTGGTTCACTATCCACCTGGGAGGGTGTATCTAGTGGGGTTCGACAGGGGTCGGTTCTGGGTCCACTAATCACTATTTTCACTAATGACTTGCATAATGGAGGGGAGAGTATGCTTATAAAATGTACGGATGACACCAAGCTGGGAGGGCAGGAGTTTCAAGCACTTTCAAGGGCAGGATTAGAATTCCAAAAGGATGCTGACAAATTGGAGACTTGGTCTGAAATTAACAAGAGGTGGAGGAAGTGATCAGAGGAGAGGCTGTTCTGGATTTGATTCTGACAAACAAGGAGGAACTAGTTGTGAATGTGAGGGTGGAAGACAGCTTGAGAGAAACTGATCACGAAACAATATAGTTCATGATTCCAAGGAATGGTAGGAGGGAAAACAGCAGAATAAATACAATGAATTTGATAAAGTCTGCCTTCTTGAAGTGCAGAGAATTGGTAGGTAAGATCCCACTGGAAGCAAGTCGAAGGGGAAAAAAAGAGTTCAGGAGAGTTGGCAGTTTTTTAGAGAGCCATTATTAAGGGCACAAGAGCAAACTGTACCAATGCAAAGGAAAAAATAGGAAATATGGTAAGAAACCACCCTGACTAAACCAGGAGATCTTCAATGACTTGCAATTCAAAAAAAGGAGTCATACGCAAAGTGGAAAATCGGTCAAATTGCAAATTCTGAATATAAAACAAAACACCACAAGCATTTAGGGACAAGATAAGAAAGGCCAAGGCACAAAATGAGATTAAACCAGCTAGGAATATAAAGGGTAACAAGAAAGCATTTTACAATGCTGGGAAGCAAAGGAAGACCAGGAACAGGGTAGGCCCATCACTAAATGAGGAGGAAAGACAACAACAGAAAACGCAGCAATGACCAAAGTGTTAAATTACATTTTTGTTTCAGCTTTCACCCAAAAAGTTAGCAGTGGTCAGATAACACAGTGAATATCAGAGTAAAAAGGGTAGGACCTGAGACTAAAATAGGAAAGGAACAAATTGAGAATTACTTAGACAAATTAGATGTCTTCAAATCAGCTGGGCCTGATGAAATACATCCCAGAATACTTCAGGAATTGGCAAAGAGATCTCTGAGCCATTAGCAATTATCTTTGAGAACTCGTGGAGGACAGGAAAGATGCCGGAGCACTGGACAACTGTAGCATCTATCTATAAAAAGGGTAATAAGGACAAACCGGGGAATCATAGGCCAGTCAGCTTAACTTCTGTACCCAGAAAGATAATGGAGCAAATAATCAAAAACTTTCTATTTGTCAGCACTTAGAAGAAAATGAGGTGATAAGTAACAGTGAGCATGGATTTGTCAAGAATAAATCATGTGAAACCAACCTAATAGCCTTCTTTGACATGGTAACAAGCCTGTGGATATGGGAGAAGCAGTACAGGTCGTATATCTTGACTTCAGTAAAGTTTTTGATACTGTCTCACATGACCTTCTCATAAACAAACTAGAGAAATAGCCGAGACAAGGGTTCTCAACCTCTTTCTGAGGGTCTCGCCAACATGCTGTAACAACTCCATGCCCACGTGTGCCACAATAACTGGTTTTCTGCACATAAAAGCCAGGGCCGGCATTAGGGGGTTGCAATCAGGGCAATTGCCTGGGGCTCCACGAAGCTACATTGCTCAGGCTTCAGCCGCGGCTGACGGGGCTCAGGGACCTGGTGTTCTGCCCTGGGCCCCAGCGTGTCTAATGCTGGCCCTGCTTGGAGGCTCCCCTGAAACCTGCTTGAGGCCCCCAGACCCCTGGTTGAGAACCACTGGCCTAGACAAACCCACTGTAAGGTGGATGCACAACTGCCTAGAAGATTGCTCTCAGACTAGTCATCAATGGTTCACACACAAGCTGGAAAGGCATACTGAATGGAGTTCCACAGGGATCTGTCCTGGATCCATTTCTATTCAGTATCTTCATAAATGATTTGGATAATGGCACAGAGAGTACACTTAAAGTTTGTGGACTATGGCAAGCAGGGCAGGGCTGCAAGCATTTTGGATTAAGGCAGAGCTCACAAACAGGTTTCTTCCAGATAGGCGATGAGTCTCAGACAAATGTAAATTAAACATGGTAGGCCAAATCTGCATATGGAGTAAACAGAGGGATGGGCAAAACACCAGGGACCAAACCCCAGGGGTTGTTCGCTCTCTGGGGTATAAAGACAATGAACTTTGGAGGTATAAGAGGAAGACAAAGATGACAGCAGAGCAGCTCACAGCAGGAGTTTGCCTGGGACTGGTAAGTATCCGAGTGTGAGTGTGTGTTTGTTTGCTTGCTGAGGAAGTATCCGAGCGTGTGTTTGCTGGGGGGGCAGTGTGAGAGCCTGAGTGAGTGTCTGATTGGCTGCTAGCCTGCAGGGGGCGGGCAGTAGGGTGTCTGTTTGTTTGCGACAGGGAAGCCTGGCTGTTTAAAAATAGCCAGAGCTTCGCGAACCAGCTGAGCAGCGGAGAACCAGCTGAGCAGCGGGGACAGCAGAGCAGCACACAGCAGGAGTTTGCCTGGGAGTTCGCCTGGAGTGAGCCCAGTGAGGCTTACGTCTTGCAAACTGCTCTGAGGAAGCTCGTAGTAGGAAGGTGATATGGAAGGGGGGGGGTTCAGCTGTTGTGACCTGCACTGGATGTGCCACGTTTGTCTTTCTTCCACAGGACAGAAGCGACTTTGTCTGTACAAAGTGCAAGCTGGTCTCCATATTGGAAGAGAAGATTGAAGGTCTGGAGCAACAGATAACAACCCTGCGTTGCATACGGGAAACTGAGGATTTTCTGGACAGAATTCAGGATAGGCTTCTAGGAGCACAAAGCTCTACAGATATAGAGCAGGTTGCACAGAGGAGCCAAGAGGCCAGTGAAGAAGCTTGGCAACATGTGACCTCCAGAAGAGGTAAGCGGAATGTCCGGGTTCCAGTAACACAGACACAGGTAACTAACCGCTTTCATGTTCTCTCCACAGGTACCGTTGCGGAGAGTGGACCAGATGATATGTCTGGGGCGAGAAAGCAGAAGGAGACTCCGCTGGTTGGAAGGCATGAGATGAGCTGTCCTGAGGTTGGGAGTTCCACGACCACCACTCCCAAGAGGAGAAGGCGGGTGGTGGTGGTCGGGGACTCTCTCCTCCGGGGGACTGAGTCATCTATCTGCCGCCCTGACCGGGAAAACCGAGAAGTCTGCTGCTTGCCGGGGGCTAAGATTCGCGATGTGACGGAGAGACTGCCGAGACTCATCAAGCCCTCGGATCGCTACCCCTTCCTGCTTCTCCACGTGGGCACCAATGATACTGCCAAGAATGACCTTGAGCGGATCACTGCGGACTATGTGGCTCTAGGAAGAAGGATAAAGGAGTTGGAGGCGCAAGTGGTGTTCTCGTCCATCCTCCCCGTGGAAGGAAAAGGCCTAGGTAGGGAGCGTCGAATCGTGGAAGTCAACGAATGGCTACGCAGGTGGTGTCGGAGAGAAGGCTTTGGATTCTTCGACCATGGGATGGTGTTCCAAGAAGGAGTGCTAGGCAGAGACGGGCTCCACCTTACGAAGAGAGAGAAGAGCATCTTCGCGAGCAGGCTGGCTAACCTAGTGAGGAGGGCTTTAAACTAGGTTCACCGGGGGAAGGAGACCAAAGCCCTGAGGTAAGTGGGAAAGCGGGATACCGGGAGGAAGCACAGGCAGGAATGTCTGTGAGGGGAGGGCTCCTGCCTCATACTGGGAATGAGGGGCGATCAACAGGTTATCTCAAGTGCTTATATACAAATGCACAAAGCCTTGGAAACAAGCAGGGAGAACTGGAGGTCCTGGTGATGTCAAAGAACTATGACGTGATCAGAATAACAGAGACTTGGTGGGATAACTCACATGACTGGAGTACTGTCATGGATGGTTATAAACTGTTCAGGAAGGACAGGCAGGGCAGAAAAGGTGGGGGAGTAGCACTGTATGTAAGGGAGCAGTATGACTGCTCAGAGCTCCGGTACGAAACTGCAGAAAAACCTGAGTGTCTCTGGATTAAGTTTAGAAGTGTGTGCAACAAGAGTGATGTAGTGGTGGGAGTCTGCTATAGACCACCGGACCAGGGGGATGAGGTAGATGAGGCTTTCTTCCGGCAGCTCACGGAAGCTACTGGATCGCATGCCCTGATTCTCATGGGTGACTTTAATTTTCCTGATATCTGCTGGGAGAGCAATACAGCGGTGCATAGACAATCCAGGAAGTTTTTGGAAAGCGTAGGGGACAATTTCCTGGCGCAAGTGCTAGAGGAGCCAACTAGGGGGGGCGCTTTTCTTGACCTGCTGCTCACAAACCGGGTAGAATTAGTGGGGGAAGCAAAAGTGGATGGGAATCTGGGAGGCAGTGACCATGAGTTGGTTGAGTTCAGGATCCTGACACAGGGAAGAAAGGTAAGCAGCACGATACGGACCCTGGACTTCAGGAAAGCAGACTTCGACTCCCTCAGGGAACGGATGGCCAGGATCCCCTGGGGGACTAACTTGAAGGGGAAAGGAGTCCAGGAGAGCTGGCTGTATTTCAAGGAATCCCTGTTGAGGTTACAGGGACAAACCATCCCAATGAGTCGAAAGAATAGTAAATATGGCAGGCGACCAGCTTGGCTTAATGGTGAAATCTTAGCGGATCTTAAACATAAAAAAGAAGCTTACAAGAAGTGGAAGGTTGGACATATGACCAGGGAAGAGTATAAAAATATTGCTCGGGCATGTAGGAATGTTATCAGGAGGGCCAAATCGCACCTGGAGCTGCAGCTAGCCAGAGATGTCAAGAGTAACAAGAAGGGTTTCTTCAGGTATGGTGGCAACAAGAAGAAAGCCAAGGAATGTGTGGGCCCCTTACTGAATGAGGGAGGCAAACTAGTGACAGAGGATGTGGAAAAAGCTAATGTACTCAATGCTTTTTTTGCCTCTGTTTTCACTAACAAGGTCAGCTCCCAGACTGCTACGCCTTCTATGATGAGATTACTGGTTCTGTGGATGAAGTTGAAAGCAGTGGATGTATTGTTTCTTGACTTTAGCAAAGCTTTTGACACGGTCTCCCACAGTATTCTTGTCAGCAAGTTAAGGAAGTATGGGCTGGATGAATGCACTATAAGGTGGATAGAAAGTTGGCTAGATTGTCGGGCTCAACGGGTAGTTATCAATGGCTCCATGTCTAGTTGGCAGCCGGTATCAAGTGGAGTGCCCCAAGGGTCGGTCCTGGGGCCGGTTTTGTTCAATATCTTCATAAATGATCTGGAGGATGGTGTGGATTGCACTCTCAGCAAATTTGCGGATGATACTAAACTGGGAGGAGTGGTAGATACGCTGGAGGGGAGGGATAGGATACAGAAGGACCTAGACAAATTGGAGGATTGGGCCAAAAGAAATCTGATGAGGTTCAATAAGGATAAGTGCAGGGTCCTGCACTTAGGACGGAAGAACCCAATGCACAGCTACAGACTAGGGACCGAATGGCTAGGCAGCAGTTCTGCGGAAAAGGACCTAGGGGTGACAGTGGACGAGAAGCTGGATATGAGTCAGCAGTGTGCCCTTGTTGCCAAGAAGGCCAATGGCATTTTGGGATGTATAAGTAGGGGCATAGCGAGCAGATCGAGGGACGTGATCGTTCCCCTCTATTCGACATTGGTGAGGCCTCATCTGGAGTACTGTGTCCAGTTTTGGGCCCCACACTTCAAGAAGGATGTGGATAAATTGGAGAGAGTCCAGCGAAGGGCAACAAAAATGATTAGGGGGCTGGAACACATGAGTTATGAGGAGAGGCTGAGGGAGCTGGGATTGTTTAGCCTGCAGAAGAGAAGAATGAGGGGGGATTTGATAGCTGCTTTCAACTACCTGAAAGGGGGTTCCAAAGAGGATGGCTCTAGACTGTTCTCAATGGTAGCAGATGACAGAACGAGGAGTAATGGTCTCAAGCTGCAGTGGGGGAGGTTTAGATTGGATATTAGGAAAAACTTTTTCACTAAGAGGGTGGTGAAACACTGGAATGCGTTACCTAGGGAGGTGGTAGAATCTCCTTCCTTAGAGGTTTTTAAGGTCAGGCTTGACAAAGCCCTGGCTGGGATGATTTAACTGGGAATTGGTCCTGCTTTGAGCAGGGGGTTGGACTAGATGACCTTCTGGGGTCCCTTCCAACCCTAATATTCTATGATTCTATGACATTTTGTTATCCATCACTGAGGAGAACAGGACAGCACTTTCTGCATTTGTGAAAGATGGATCCTGGCCATGATGGCTAGTGACACTGGGAGGTTGCAATAGGTGAGAAATTGCTTTAGACGAGGATTTTCGCCGACTGAAATTACGTGTAGATGCTAAGAAACGTGTTGTACCTTTTGTTTTAAAAGGAACTTGCTGTTCTTATTGTCTTTGCTAACTATCTCTTAAATCTTAACCTTTGTTAATAACCCTACTTGTTTTCACTAGAAGTAGAGTACAGTGCTGTGCTGTTACATAGGAGGAAATACTCCGCTGAATCCGTTGTGTGTGTACAGCTCCCTTAGGAACAGCAAACCTGCTCATTACTGGGACGGGGCTGGACACTACAGGGGGATGATTCTGGGGAGTTCGGAGAGTGGAGCACACCAAGGGCTGGCAGAGCCCAGAGGAGCATGCTTAAGTGACTGAAGGGCTGTCAGGATCAGGGAGCAGCCACAAGACAGCCTGCCTCACTGAGTTGGGGGGGGGGGGGGGGGTGGTAACAGGGTAACTCACAGTCCCGGGCACCCTCAGAAAGCGTCATAAGTTACCAAACAGGCTAATGCTCTTAGGTGTGTTAATAGGGAATGTCACACGGGACACAGGAGGTGACTGCCCCTCAACTAGGCACTGATGAGGCCTCAGCTGGAGTGCCGTGTCCAGTTCTCGGCACTGCGCTTTAAGAAAAAAGTGAGTAATATGGAGAGAGTCCGAGGAGCGCAACAAACATGATAAAAGGTTTAGAAAATCTGACCTACAAGGAAAGGGAAAAAAAACGGGGCACGTTTAGTCTTGAGCACAGACAACTGAGGGAGACCTGGGAACAGTCTTCAAATACACTAAGGGCTGCTCTAAAGAGGGCAGGGATCAGTGGTTCTCCATGTCCACTGAAGGCAGGGCAAGAAGTAGTCGGTTAATCTGCAGCAAGGGAGATATAGATTAGATATTGGGAAAAGCCATCTAACTCGAAGGGGAGTTAAGCTCTGGAACAGGCTCCAAGGCAGGTTGTGGAATCCCCGTCACTGGAGGTTTTTAAGAACAGGCTGGACAAACACCTGTCAGGGATGGGCTGGAAGATTCACTTGGTCCTGCCTCAGAGCAGGGGACTGCACTCAGTGGTCTCTTGAGGTGCCTTCCGGCCTGACATTTCTCAGATCCCCCACAGCACTGCCCAGGAAGATGCTACTTGGCCTGCTCAGCACCCTGCGAGGAGCATGTTTAACAGAACCAGCACAGACACAACCCAGCACAGCACCACTGAAAGTTTTAAACAGAGAACCTGAAGCTCCTGGGTAACCTTCAAGCCCAGGCAGCCTGACCGGGCTTTGACATTTAACTGGCCACATTCCCCACTCCTAAAAGCCTTGTTCTGAAGTACCTGGGAATTCAGCATGTGGCACTCTTGGAGTAACCCCATGTGCCCTGAGGCTCCAATTTCCAATTCGATCACCATCACTTAGCCTAGGCTTGAACATCTGCCGTGCTGTAAACCACTGAGCACAGAGAAGGATACTTTACCCAGGTTTACAACCTGAGAGACAGGTGCATATGCTGAAAGCTACATTTGTGTCGGATCACAGCTCTTCTTGCTGGACTAGGAGGAAAAGGCTTCCTGCTCTATGCTGGAAAGACCAAGAGCTTTATCCAGACACAGATGCACACTCTGCACATACACTTCAAGGATTCACATCATGTCCATAAGCAGTGTTTATGGGGGAACGCTATTGGCCGTGAGATGCACAGACTGTCATGCACAGCACAGAGCCTGAGGAAGCAAAACGAGTCCCTCACTCGTCTCCACCCAAAAATCCCAGCCCAGTCCCCCTGTGCCCAAGGCACTGGCAAAGTGGCACCAGTCTCTTTTGCACAGGAGACACAGTCGCTCGCAGACACCTCAAGATCACAGGGATGGCAGAGTGTGGTACAGCACAAGCGTGGGGTCTCCAGCAATGAGTCACAGCAGGGGAAGGTTTTGGAGGGGAGGAGTTAGAGTCTGAAAGGAAATTACCGGAGGGACTTTTCTTTCTGCTGATGAAGCACTTGAGCTTCTTCCTCCTCCTCTTGTCTCAGCTCCTCCTGAAATCGCTGAACCTTCTCCTCCTTTGCTTGCAGTAAACGCATTTTTTCTTGCTCCTGCTCCTTGGCTATTTCCTCCAGGGATTCTGCAGAAAGCCAATTCAAGGACACCACTTGCTTGATTTCCTCCCCAAGTTGTCTGCCAGAAAAAAAAAATAAAGCTGTCCTGAAAACAGGATAACAGAGAACTGGCTAATGCAATGAGAACAGTACCACTCCACCTACACTGCAAGGATCTCAAAGCCATGTACAAATGCCAGCTAAGCACCCCTCAAAACACCTTGGTGAGGTAGGGAGAGGATTCCCAGAAATCACTGCCACCACCACTGGTATGTAGCCACCTCTGGACTGGAGCACAGCTGCTGCTGACCAGCTGTGCAGGACAAGGGATGAAGAAGAGTGGTGTAGGTGGGTGCAAGCACCAAGGCGGGAGAAGAGATGGAATGTGCTTCGCCATACAACTTATCCTCTTGATATTCCTCTCAGCATGACTGGAGAACTGAGCCATTCTCACATCAAGCTCCCACCCAACGCTCTGTTTGCGATTATACCACTTGCCCTGTACCCAGTTGGGTCAGCAGGGGGAATTCAGGGAGGCAGCATGTCATTACCAAGCTGGAATTTAACCAGCAGCACACCAGGGTTAATACCGCAACGCTTACAAAAAAGAGCCCTCGACAAGTATAAAGGACATGCAGCCAGGGCATGAGTTTTCTATTTCCTTCCAAAGACAGCCCCTCCAGCAAGAGTCCCCAAGTACCACGGACTGAATCCAATACTGAGGCAGGGAAGGACCCCTCCTCCTGTAGCATCTAGGTATTCCTTGCTTGTCGCCTACTCCTGTTCTGTACTGGCCCATCACCACTTCGCTTGCAAGATGTGCCAGGACCTCAGTGCACGAGAGTCAAGCCGGGGGGAAAGCGCTTGGTGACCATGCAGCCGCAATTGGAGCTTCCAGGCACTACTGGCAAACAGACAGTAAGTAGTGACAAGGGAAGAGGCAGAGTCTCAGCCCGGCCTGGAGAACAATGGGCTCACTCTGAAAGGCCAAAGGCTCTAAGCTGCAGTTTATGCAGTGACTATAGTATGACAACGTATGTTCTACGGGCCCATTTGGCCAGGGCTCGGAGAATGGCTCACGTAGAGGAGCAGGATTTGGCAGCTGCCTTTTTTTCCCATATAGGCCAGAAAGGTCTCGGCTGAATGGGCAGGATAATAGAGTAACCTCTGGGGAACAATTATTCTGTTGTGAAAAATAGACACACAGAATACCTCTAGCGTAAGCAGGAAACAGAGCAGTGGATAAGCCTCACAGTCGGATCAGGCAGCAGGGAGTAAGTAAGCAGAACTCCAGGTGGAACACATGGCTTCATAAGGCGGCCCCAGGCGCCCTCCTGTGGCAGGCCACAACCAAACAGGCATGCCTGCCTCAGCTTCCCTCCTTCATGGTCCCCAGTAATGCCACACAAACTCTCTTGCCTCAGAAATAGCCCTCCTGGGCGCCAGTTTATTACTAAAACATCGTACAAACAGTCCGTAACAAACACCCCAAAAGGCAGACCGTTTGTCACCTCCAGTGCAAGTAGTCCTTAAAGTCCCACAATAGCTAGTCCATTGACTTAGGACTTACTGCACTCTACCGTCTTCCACCACACCCAGGTTCTTCTTCGATCCTCTCCTGTCCTTCTGCCAGGACAGCTGGACTGCAATGCACTCTTCCCAGTGGGAACCCCTCAGCCTTTTTGCTGGGAGATCATCCGCACCAGGGACCGCCCATCACGCCCCTTGGCCCCCTCACTGGTCCCCTGGGTCCAGCTCTCCAGTGTGGAGATGTCAGCGGGTAAGCTCCTCCACTGCCCGCCTGCCATCAGCCCTCTCCGGCCCTCAGCTGTAATTCTTTGGCTTAGAAGTGAGCAGGCCCTCTGCTTTTTTTGCTGCCTTCAGCACCAGCGCTCCAGCCCTTGTCTCAGCCTTGGGGAGGCCAACTGGCAAACCCCTCTCCTGCCTTCAGCTTTCCTCCAGGAACCTCCTACAACTCTCTTCGAGGACCTCCTCCCTCTCTGATTGACCCTGATCCTTTATAGCCCCAGGTGCTGCCTTGCCTTCTAAATTGGCCAAACTGAGAGCACCTGAGCTGGCACAGGGCAGCTGGATCTTCACCTAAATGGGCCACCTTGTGACAGGGGGCCACAAGAAAACAAGAACAAAGAGAAAAGCCCATGAATGCAAAACCTTGACCCTCCAGTTTGGTAACCTATACATGAGGTTGGCAAAGTTAGCTCTAGCCAGTGAGCTGCTCCAGCCATTAGGGTTCTGCAAAAAGACCCCCGATCCCCCAACCACAAAGTGGGTTCCTTGCCAGTTCATGATGCAACGCCAGCCCTCTCACTGGCCAGGTGACACTGTGGGAGGAGGCCTCAGGTCACAGGGGACATTAGAAAACAAGCAGGTTTGACTGGGCTGCACCAGTTCTACAGAGAACAGTTACAGGCAGAAGATGATTAACCAAAGTGCCAGACTAATTCAGACAAGGGTAGGGGAAACACCTCAATGTTCTTCCTGGTCTCTGCCATGCCCCAAGATCTAATCTAGTTTGCTTGGGCAGCAAAGTCCCTGGTACAGGTAATGAACTAGTCAGTGATTTATCTATAACCCTGGGAGGATACTCAAGGCGAGGACCTCAGAGGAAGCTTGGGGGCTCTGAAACTCAGGCTTCTTCACTCAAGCGGAATGAGAATGCATTGAGACAACCATTACACAGAGAGAGGGATGAAAAAGCTGCATACCCTTTCTCAGCTCGGCCTGGATTGTGACCAAAAGCAGCTTTCTTGCTTGGGAAGCAGCAAGGACACACTGCTTAGCTATCACTGGGCACAGCACCACAGTAATGCCTCTAAAGAAACCATTAAACCAAACACGACTGGGGCTCAGGAGAGTTGGGTTCTAGTCTTGGCTTTGCTGCTTCTATGCTCAGTGACCCAGGAAAGCAGCTTCCCCTCTTCATGCCTCAGCTTCTCGAACTGACACACAGCACAGCCTCCTTGGTGGAAGGCGTAAAGATCAGCCTCTGGATACAGAGGATACCTAAGTGACTGCTTTTCTCCCTGCACCATCCTCCCACAGCTGCGGGGCTTCTGATGTGACTACCTACATTGGGGGAATGGAGGCAAGGGGCTCTCCCCTTCTCATCCAGCCACCGCCTGAATTTGCTGATCTTCACAAGGACCCCCTGGTCCTCAAGCTTGTGCGGAAGAGGGCAAGGGAGAAGAGTTTCTCTTTCACCTCTTCAAGCTGGGGAAGCACTGGTGTCTGGGTGACGTGAGCTTCCACCAGTTCCAGCAGCAGCACCTTTCCACTGTGCTAATGCAGAAAGGCCACGTGTTATGACTACACATGCCTGTGTGGCCACGTATTCGAAAGAATCCAGCAGCCAGTGTCTTTGGAAAGTCTGGCTCTCCCTCTTTTCCATAAATGAGCTCACAGCCCATGAAGTGGGCTCATGTTTAGAGTTAAAGGAAGGTGAGTGTGGCATGAGTCAGAAGGAAGTCTGCTTATAACAGGGAAAAGCTGAGGCTTCCCCACATATATTCTGGTGAACAGCAATCATGGGGGCAGAAAAAGAAAGGGGGGGGGGGGAAAAACAGAGAAAGAGTCAAGAGTTTAAAAAGAAAATGCAATTCAGTCATAAAGCCGCTTGAGCTCACCAGGTCAAAGCCGGGGCTCTTTAAATACACAAGTAACATGCACAAAAACGGCGCTCTTTCCACTGCACCTCCATTTTCAGAGAGAGCTCGGCCTTCTCTTCATTTGTCTCGTCACCTGATTCTGCAGTCTGCACGCACTCACATTGCCTGCCATGGGAGCACTGCTTATACCAGGACTGCGGGATTGGGGACCGGTTATTTTACGTAGCCAGCTTCACCCCTTCCCCAGCTAAAGCAAACCAACCAGTGTCTGGCTCAAACAAACACGCTACCTATGGGCCAGTATTTTCCTGAATCAGCAATATAAATATGCTGGAAGCTTGCTGGCCTCCAGTAATAGAAAGCAATAGGGTCTCCAAAAATTCAACAGAAACCAATCTGTTTTTAATTCAGCTTTTTCAAAAGGCAGCAAAGTTATGAGGCCTGAAAGAGGCTCAAGGGGAAAAAAAAAAACTGCACTGGTCTCGGTAAAAAATAAAATTCTGCTTCCCAGGTGGTGAGATGGAAAGCTGCAGGCCTTGGCACACTCCGACACCGCTGAACTGAGGCAGAGGCTGCCGGGGAACAGGGAATTCAGCGATGTCCGTAGCACCAGAAAAAGGGTGCAGTCACTACAGAGAAAGCGAGCCGCGTAGGGGCGGGCCCTTGGGGCTATAGATAAATCATGCACTCCTCATACCGCCGTACCACCTCCCAGTGCATTGCCCATGTCAACGCTACATGTAACAATGCCCAACTGCTCATCGTCCTGAGCTGGACAGCTCTCCAAGCTCCTGGTCATTATTTCCCCCCTTCCCCACCTCCATTTTCTTTTTTTAAAAAGCATTTACACAAACTGTTCCCTGTTTTTCAAGGCAGGTATTTTCCTGGACACTGCACTGGGACACCCTCACACTTCCCTACCAGTGACCACAGATTGTCTCGAAGTTGCATGTACCCTGTGAGGGCACCACCAGTTCTGCCCAGTTACACCTGGTGTTTTTTTCAGTACAGGCACAAAAATCTGCAAGATTGTTTCCACCAAGATCTGTTGCTGTGGTAGGACTGCAGGTATCTGACTGCAAAGGCCACCAGTTTAGTAAGCGATAAGCCACTGGCCTTTACTGGGGACTCTAGTTCTATCAGCTGGGCTGTGATCTCACCAGATAACACAAGCCAAGATGTAGTCCGCTGTTCACGGATGGCAGTTAAATGCATTTGATACTTGTGGCTCTGGTCTCGGTAGTGCTCAGCAATTATACTTTGAGGAATCAGCTCTCTGGCATAAAACTAGACAGGCATGGTTGGCCTTTCTAACCACACAGAGATGCTGAAGTGCTCTCTTTCAAGCAGGAAGTGAGCAAATCTTGCTTCAGTCATTTCTGCACTGCCTAGGAATGAACCCGATGATCTAACTCCTCATCTGAATTTTCTAACTCTCAGTAATTAGATCATGAAGCCTGGACTCTAAGGCCCAATGGCTGGGCAAGAACAGCAGCTACTTCATTTTCCCTAATACAGACAATTGACACACTGGGTTATTGGTTGCAGGACTGGCAGCAAAACAGCGCCTTAGGAACATGTGCACTTAGGAGCTGCACACTAAAGTGCTCTTGTTTTTAAACTCATTCTCCCAGTGCCAACTGAGAATCTCAACTGAAAGCACCAAGCCACATCTTCAAATTCAGCCAGGGTCACATACGAGAACCACATACAAGAAGGCAAGAACTCTCCTGCTCAGAGTGCCAGAGGAATTTAATGCAAGCCCTTACGCCTGGTGAGGGGCTGCAGGCTCTTCCGGATTGGTCAGACTATCCAGCGATCCCTCCTTTTGCTCCAGGGCAGCAGTCTCTTGCTGGCTGGCGTTCTTTAAACTCAAACACTTCTCTTCGGCCATTTCGCAAGCACTGAAGGGGCGCTGGTCCCTCTCACTATGCAGCAGTAAAAAGGTAACAGAATAACAGATTAGTGAAAAGTGGACTCCACTGCTTGCTCCATTTCAACAGGATGGAGGGAGACCAGGATGCAAAGCCAGAGTGAGGGATGCACACATCTGCAACACCACTGCATACCTGACAAGGGTACCAGTTAGTTAGTCCAACACTGTTGTTGCCTAAGGGCAAAACAACAGCTCCCTTCCATCATCCAAACCAGCGTAGGAGTTGGAAGCACTGAAAGACTAATAGGTGGATGGGGGTATAAGTGAGAGTCTGTCAATCTCTAAATGCTGTATCCCTTCCAAGGAAAATTTCCCTTCTTTTCCAAGTCCTTGGAGAATTTCCCAAAGCATATTTGAAGACAAACCAATTCCATTTGCAACATCTATACTGTATCTGAACTACAGCTGGAAATACTGGCAGGCATGCCCATATCTACAGTCCTACAGCATCTTAGAGGCAGAAAGACAAGAGACACCAGACAAGTACAAAGCAGCTTTACCAGCAGAGAGGAGGAATGAAGAGAGTGAACACACAGCTCTGGGAAGCAGGTATAGAGAGATAAGATGTTTGCTGCACAGAGGATGTATTTTCAGGGAGCCTTCATATGAGCAGGATCTCAGAGCACAAGTTCACTGGGTTCGCCAATGTCTACGGCGGGTCATAAGGACTACTGCAGATCAGTCTCTCCATCAGCCTTTTTGGAACAGGGCCATCTTTGGCACTAGGGCACAGGACCATGGTTCCTAAATGCCCAACACACCAGAATACTTTGAAACTACACATGGAAATTAGGTTTCTTACAAACAAAACATTCTTCAGCTCCCAGCAGAGACTTGCGGGAAGACTGAGCTGCTTTGGTCAGAACATTTCTGTATTTTTAAACTTGTCACCACAAATAGAAAACAAGCAAACAGATCTTCTAGTCCCTGCAATAACTAAGTGTTAGGATGCCCAAATTGTTCCTGGGATAGTAAATGTTGCTCTCCAGAATTAAAACTTCAACAGACCATGACACAGAATAGTCTAATATGGATACTGGATCCATTCTGCCTGCTGTAGAAATGTACCCTCATGGAAATAAATGGAGTTGGTCCCACTTAGGTCGGGGCTGGATTCACCCTTTGTCATTACAGGGAGCCGGGCTGTCACTGAAGAGCATTTAGCCACTGATAAGCTAGCTACACAGTACTGATATTCCAACAGGCCCAGTATATGGGAGGGGCTGCTTCAGGCCCTGAATAATCTGATGATATAAATGATATGTAGTGACTGAGACTCCCATAGTTAAATGCCAGGAGCCACAACAGGAGATTTGAACTAGTCCAAAGCATCCTGATAGGACTGCAAAAATGTTAGCTATATTCACCCAGGTCAGCAACACAGAAAAAAAGAAAAGTTTTCTAGCCTCAGAGAAAAGCCAAATAGCCTTAAGGGAAACAAGAAGCTGACTCTCTCTCTCTGGTGGAATTTTCAGGGAGATGAAAGTACATCATTTGCTTGCCTACCCAGCCAGAGGCCTGAAGCACCACTGAACCTGCTGAGACAGCAGGGGAGAGGGAAAAGAGAAGAGAAGAAAGTGAAAAATCTTAAGATAAGCTGTAGAAACCCTGGGGTGTTTAACAGGGGGATTCCTGCAGGGGTTGCAATGATCACACTACAATAGCCTCAGGTACAGGCTGGATAGGAGAGCAGTGGGGATCTCGACCTCCACATCCATCGTTTGTAGTACTGGCCTGTTTATACCATACCTCTCAGCAGCCTTGGTTCTTTTGCTTTGCTCTTCTTCTAAACTGGCTTTGCTTGGGTCCTTTTCCTCTTCTCCCAGCTCCTGGGCCTGCAGGTAAAAGCAAACGGTGTGGGGTTTGCAGACTCCATTACTCTTGAGAATTTACAGTCGCTCTGCAGAAGAGATGAGGGAAGCCTGTGCTGCTTTGTCCCTGTAGCTGAGCACCACACTGAAGCAGCAAACAAACTGGCCCTCAGAAAACAGTCCAAGCAATTGCTAAAATCAAAATGCTCTGTCCTTCTCTGGGGCATGAAAGACCTCAAAGAGCTTTATAAACAAAGACTAATAAACCTGACAGCACCCTTGCAAGATGCTTTGAACTGTCTAGTGATTTTGGGGGCCAAGTTGACACATCTGAAAAGGTTTTCAGAGAGCCGGGGCTCAGCACCTTGGAAAGTCAGGTCGGGCACCAGAACCACTTGCCACTTTTGAAAATGTTGGCTTGAGTCCCGAGCCCAGTTTTACAGGAAGGAAAACAGAGATGCAGAAGTGAGGCCAAATTCACAGCAGGAGTCAGTGGCTGAGCTGGGAGCAGACCCTTACTCCTGACTCAGTCCTACATCATGGCTTCTCTCCAGGATAGCATCAGATCATGAGGGGCCAGACTCAGGTGCGTACAGGTGGAATCAGACCCCACCACATGGAGACAAATTGCCCTCTCGCAGGCAACACCCTTGGGACTCTGGGGTAGGAAGACTCTCTCGCTAGCATCCACTTGGAGTGACTGCTGCTGCCTGGTTCACGAAACAGCCTTGCACAATTGCCCAAGGAAAGTGGGGATCTTCTAGCAGGGGAGAGAGGAAACCAGTGAGCCTGCAAGTTTAAAAGGTGCCTAGGAACATAAGGGGAGTGAGAAACAGACAACTCAGTCTCAGATAAAGAGCCAATGCAATGAGGCCAACAGATGAGAACAAGGCTAAGGCATCAGAAACAGCCTCCCCCTCCACCCAGGGAGGGCAAGGCAAGGCAAGGCCCGTTAAAGCCTACATGTCCTGGACCCAAGGCCTCCCTGCAATCCAGCTGTTGCTCCTGTGAGGGGAGTGCCTCTCTGGGAGGGAAAGTGTTAACAGCCCATCTCTTGATCGGAGGCTCCCGCACACTCATTGGTGGCTGAGTGCTCTGGAGCTGAGGCGGTGACTTTGCCATATGGAAGTGCACCAAGGGGCAGGGCCAACGTTTTAAAAAAAATGAAATTATAAATAGCAATGATTTATGCAAATTTCTAGCAAAGCAAAGAGCAGAAGGATTCCCTCCTAGTGCTGTCTCTTCTCATCACGTCAACCAGTCAGACCTCTCCCAGGCAGCTCCCGCTCATGCCCTCTCTCCTGCCTGGTGCAATTAATGGCTTCAGGTCCCAAAAACCAGGTACCTCAGCAAACATCCCCTGGCTTCAGATGGGATCCATTACTGTCACCTTTGAAAGCACAAATGGCTATTTTTATTCATAGAAAGATCTCATTCCCCTACTAGAGTAATTGGTGGGGAGTCTACACTTTTAGCTGCCACCTGGCTCTCACTTGGTCTCTTTCTCTCCAACTGGAGCAACCTGCACCCCTTGACACTGCAATTAAAGGAATTGCTTCGGTTCATTTTTAAAAGCTGGGGTTAGCCTGTGTCTTCCGCAGGGCATCAGAGTTCTAGCCCCAGGGACGGCTTTGGGCTAGTGGATTGAGCTGGGGGCTGGGAGTCAGGAGACTTAGGGTTTAAATCCAGATTTTGCCACTGACTCACTGTGTGACCTTGGGCAAGTCCCTTCCCCTCCCCATACCTCAGTACCGTCCAGTGGGGATCCTGGAGGAGAGTGAAGTGGTATTATTCGTCTGGTCTCCTGTTCTGCTGGGACGCAGATCTGCGAAACCGCTCAGGATGAAACACAACATTGAGGGTGAGACGGAAGGGGAGGAGAAATGACAAACTGTTCTCCAAGGGGTAAATCTAACCCAATTCCTTTCTAAGGGCATGATCAAAACCCAAAGACGGCAAGATTCCCATCGACTTTGAAGACAATCAGACCAGGCCCTGTGCCTGTTTCTTTATTAGCCTTTTACCACTATTGCTACCATTGAGGCAGCTTCACTGATGGAGCCAAATGTCAGCAATTTAAACACTGTGTCCTCTAAGCCTGCTCAGAGCCAGTCTAGACAGCAAAGGGTTAACATGGCTGCGGCTGTGGCTGCTGGAGCTGAGCCTGGCGTAGCAATAAAGGGAACACCAGGAGGGAAAATGCTAGTATAGATCAGACCGATATGAATAATGTTGTTCTCGGAGTCAAATGAAAATCATCACCATCAACCTGCAGAGGAGAAATCCCCTCCCTTCCAGCCCTAAAGAGAGGCCAGAAAAAATATTTCCAGTCTATACAAAATCTTCATCGGAGATCTCAAAGCCCTTGGCAAACCCCAGAGCATTCTACCCTCCCTCCAGGCAGGTGTTTGCCCCATGTATAAAAGGAAGATTCGGGGGCAGGGTGGGGAGAGTGCAGTGCCTTATTCATCGTGAGTGCGGGAGCCCAGTCCCTTACTCTAGACAACAAACAACATGGCCTCTGCTGAGCCATTGGGCTCGTCTACTGCAGATCCCGACACAGGGTACGCACTGAGAAACGCAAACCCTAACACTGGCCGCTCAGCTGTCACATGGACAATTTTATTTAAAGAAACAGGATATTTTGCCAAAGCAAAAGCAAGCCCCTTGTGTAGAAATAAACACATTCTAAGCAACCAGAAGTGTCATTTGAAAACATCCTCTTTCGACACAAAGGAGCAGCTGCAGTTCTGCAGGGGGCACCATTTCAAACCCACCTCTCTTTCCTAGAGACAAGGCTGTAATAAACTCAAAATGTGTCTGATCCAACGAGGAATTTGTATGCATGATACTTATGCTGTAGCAAAAAGGAGAGGGGAAAATATACAGCAGGCACATATTTTCTTTTCCTTTCACACCCGATTATCTTCATTATTAGGCACAAGAGGACAGGTGTATTCTCCAAACGCCACCTAAGCAAACTTGGATTTCTACTCTCTGCCAGACAGGTGGCAAGTTTATCACTTGGGGTGTCTCCCACTCGGCTGATCGACTCACTTACAAATCAGATCAAGGCTGAGTAAACCCCAGCTGGAGCCCCGACCCAATGCTTACTGACACACAGTGCAACACATTCCTTCAGCTGATGCACTGCCAAGCTTACCTCGTATGGTGGGGAAGGTAAAACTGGCTTGTGGGGGCTGAAAAATTGGTTCGGTAACAAACTAGAGAGAGAGACAGATAAAACCTCCAGAGGCCCAAAAGCCTCCTTCAACCAGAATTGGGCTCAGTCAGTCACTTCCTGGATGTGGTAACTGCACACACTCGCCACACCACAAACACACACACCTCTGTTCACATGCCACATTGACCCAGAGAGAGGGTCTCATTTTCCCAACAAATTAGGCCACACACACAAAAAACGTAAGATGCCGGAGCCTCTTCGTACTGACATCTGTCCGAGCAAGTCAGCCTCTGGTTTTCTTGGAACATTTGTTTATTTTTTTCCCTGCCATTGTTTTCCATTATCCAAATCCCACCCATCCACTTAGGAGAAAGAAAGAGAGAAACACACACACACACACACACACACAGCAGGAAAATATAAAATACACTCACCATCCCACCAGCAATCGCCAGAGAAAGAGGGACCCAAGGACAGGCAACATGCCCATACACAGACACTACGATGTATGTCTATGCTGGCTCTAAATGGGAACCAGCTTTTCAGCTAAGGAACATATTGCAGCTGCCTCTGCATTTAGCTGTGGTTTGCATTCAGCATGGACAGGGCACCGCACTAGGGCTCAAGCAGATCGTGGTTCTAAGCCCAGCTCTGCCACTATTCACTGTATGGCCTCCACACTGCACTTCTGTTTCCCTTCAGACAGCCTCATATAAGAAGCTCAGAGCACGTGCCAGCGTTACATTATCCCCCGTCCACAGCTCCATCGCTGACCGCACGGCCACCACTCACCTCAACCTTGGGGCTGTCCAGAGCAGCAGAAAGAATACACATATCCAGGACCTGCTCAGAGATCTGACTCTGGAAACCAAAGTCCTAAAAGAAAATAAAAGGAGAAGGAGCTGGTTTCAGGTGGGTACATAGGTTCTAACAGAGACCCCCAAGAGTCAGAGCACAGACCTACCACAGCCAGGGATATCCTTCCCACCTCTGCACAGTGAGAGCGAGTTGCTCCGAACATTCGAGATTTGAACAGCAAGGATGGTGTAGAGAAAACAAGAGATAGCCATTGATCGACCTATTAGCCAAGATGGTCAGGGATGCAACCCCAAGCTCTAAGTGTCTCTAAACCGCTGACTGCCAGATGCTGGGACTGGACAATGGGGGATGAGTCACTTGATAATTGCCTTGTTCTGTTCATTCCCTTTAAAGCACCTGGCACTGGCCACTGTTGGCTGACAGGATACTGAGCTACGTGGACTATTGGTCTGACCCAGTTTGGCCATTCTGATTTTAAGCAGTCTGAGCTCTGTGATGGATCCTGGCCAGTAAAATCTGGAAAACAGACTGTAGGTGAGAGAAAACATCTTGAACAACGACTGTAGTCTTGCTAGATTAAGTTTTAGTCTTCTTTTTTTCACTTTTAATTGTTTATAACCATTTCTACCTTTATCCCACTAATTGAGATCACTTAACCTATGTCCTTTTGTTCATGAACTCATGTTACTTTTGCTATAAACCAACTCAGTGCTGTGCTTTAAGGGAGGGGTGTATACCCCAGTTAAGTTAATAAGATGCAATATAACAATGCTTTAACAGAGTAGCAAACTTAATATCCTCTGTGAACGAACGGTGACAGAGTCTGTGTGTCAAAGAGAACCGTCTCTGAGGAGCTCGGGGGCTGGAGTTCGTTGACTGCTACCTGCCAGGCGAGGTTTGGGCTGGAAGAGCATAGAGGAGTTTGCTGGTGAGGCAGACAGACTGGTGAGGCAGGGAGTGGATACACAGTCCAATCTCCAGCAAAGCTCGCGCATACAGATGCAGAGGGGTAACACATTGGCTCACAGCTCTGGATATCCCCAGAGTCAGAGCTGGGTTCCCTTCCCAACTCTACCACTGACTCACAGCAGGACCTCAGTCCAGACACTTCAGCTCTTGGGGTCTGGGTTTCCCCAGCAGTGAAATGGAGTTATACTGAACCAAGCCTTTAAAAAGTGTTTGGAGACTCCTGGAAGCAAGCCTAAGCAAGTGCAAAATATTGTGTTGGTTTGGGCCATGCTGTGAAGTTCTTTCCCAGCAGTGGGGAGACAGGGATAGGGGACTGCAGGAGGCCTGAGGACTCATTTGCTGAGTGCTCATAGAGGAACACAAGGTCGATGCCCAAGGACTCACCGTCAGACGAAGCAGCTCATGATCCGAACGGTCAGAAACCTGCAATTCTTTCATGTGCTCACTGGCCTCGGACTCCTTTAAAAATCCAAAATTGATGCTGTTACATTACAGTGTGTGTATACATGGCCATTTCCAACACAAAGCAGACCTACAGGTACTAGAAAAACAAATCCAATCTGTACATACCACAGAGACGCACCCAAGTTTCTTAGACGCTACATGAAAGGCATTTCTAAGGGTGTGACCCACAGACAAGCACAAGACGCCACTTTGCAGAGAGAAAGGGCTTTTGGAAGGAGGAGGAGGCTGGAGAGGGTAAAGAAGTGCTCTTCAGATGGTCTCCACAACATTTGGACATCCCCTGATGAATGGCATTCGTACAGTGCTTACGCTCCCCCACTTCTTCTACAAAGTTCTTCAGAACTCCAACCACTGCCAATTCTGACCATTATTCCCTCCCCAAGTCCAGCCTGCTGCTCTGGCTCCCAACTCAAGCCTTGCACCTAGCTTCGCTATTTCTCCCACTCCAGATCTCACGCTGCCCTGAATGCCTGGAACACACAACTATAGCATCTACCACCGTGAGCAGCGTACGGTCTTTAAAAGGGCTATGCTCAGCAGCAAGTTCAACTCCTGGGGGTAAGAGTGTACAGGAACGTGCCCTATGCCCCAGTCCTGCAAAACTTAAACACATGCTTAACTTTATGAACCTGAGCCAGACTGGGGAGGAATTGGCCTTTTGGGATATGCTGTCTATGGACTGGACACTGTGCATCTGTTTGGACCCAGCTCCAAGGGGCAGAGAGTTAACACGCCCTGCTGGAATGGGAACACTTCAGGCTATGACTCTCACTGAGACTGCATTGTAAAACACCTTGCTTATTGGCTTGGCTGCTTTCTGGGGTCTCAATGGAAGAATGGTGGGAAACGTGACATGCGTACCGGAAGGGATCACATTCTGCAGAGTCAATCCACATCTGGAACCAAACCCCAGAGGCTTGGTCCCCTCTAGCCTCACACCCTCTCTTCAGCATCCTTCCTCGGATGACTCACTTTCATATTCCTTCCTGTAAATATCAGAACCGGTAACTCATTTTACACATTTGCCCCATCTCTAAACAAGCCAAGAGAAACCACTGACAGCCGGGCATGGTGTGAACGTAAAATGATAGAATTGTAGGACTGGGAGGGACCTCGAGAGGCCATCTAATCCAGTCTCCTGCACTCAGGGCAGGATTAAGTATTATCTAGACCATCCCTGACAGATGTTTGTCTAACCTGCTCTGAAAAACCTCCAACGATGGAGGATTCCACAACCTCCTTAGGCAATTTATTCCAGTGCTTAACCACCCTAACAGTTAGGAAGTTTTTCCTGATGTCCAACCTAAACCTCCCTTGCTACAATTTAAGCCCATTGTTTCTTCTCCTTCTTCAGTGAACAGTTTTTCTCCCTCCTCCTTGTAACAACCTTTTATGTCCATCCCCCCGCCCCAGTTTACTCTTTTCCAGACTAAACAAACCCAGTTTTTTCAATCTTCCCTCATAGGTCATGTTTTCTAGACCTTTAATCATTTTTGTTGCTCTTCTCTGGACTTTCTCCAATTTGTCCACATCTTGCCTGAAATGTGGTGTCCAGAACCGGACACAATACTCCAGTTGAGGCCTCATCAGCGCAGACCAGAGCAGAAGAATTATTTCGTGTGTCTTGCTAACAACACTCCTGCTAATGCAACCAGACTGTTCGCTTTTTTTGCAACAGTGTTACGTTGTAGACTCATGTTTAGCTTGTGATCCACTATGACCCCAAGATCCCTTTCCACAGTACTCCTTCCTAGGCAGTCATTTCCCATTTTATATGTGTGCAACTGATTGTTCCTTCCTAAGTGGATACTTAGCATTTGTCCTTATTGAATTTCATCCTATTTACTTCAGACCATTTCTTCAGTTTGTCCAGATCATTTTAAATTTTAATCCTGTGCTCCAAAGCATTGCAACTCCTCCCAGCTTGGTATCCATCCACAAACTTTGTAAGTGTATTCTCTATGCCATTATCTAAATCACTGATAAAGATATTGAACAGAACCGGACCCAGAACTGATCCCTGTGGGACCCTATCGATATGCCCTTCCAGCTTGACTGTGAACCACTGATAACTACTCTTTGGGAATGGTTTTCCAATCAGTTATGCACCCACCTTATAGTAGCTCCATCTAGGTTGTATTTCCCTAGTTTATGAGAAGGTCATGCGAGACACTATCAAAAACCATACTAAAAGTCAAGATATACCACATCTACCGCTTCCCCTCTCTCCACAAGGCTTGTTCCCCTGGCAAAGAAAGCTACTAGGTTGCTGTAAAAACCAGCTTACTTACTACAGATGGCAGCACTGAAACCCGAGTCTTATTTCTCTTCTAAGATTTGAAATGTGTATCCCAGTTCAGCGTCTTTGCCTTCTGGATGCTCTGGACAGCACTTCTTATGTGCATTAAACAAGGGATTTTCTAGAGACAAAACTGGGAATTTGTAGAGCACTTGCACCCCAATTCAGGAATGCATTACTACTAGGAAAGCCTTACACACATGCTTCACTTTAAGTCCATGTCACGTCCTATTGCAGTCAATGGGATTTAAGCACATGCTTAAAGTGCTCTCCTAAATGAGGGCCTTACAAAGCGGTAGAAGCTGCAGGCAGCAGTTCTCACAACAAGCCCTGCCCATGCAGGCAGATTTCTTACTTTCCCAGCGTCCAGCTTGCTGTCGGTTTTCAGATCAGTTGCTTCTTCCCTCATTCCATTTACAGTCTTTTCATTGACAGACATGGTGTCAATGGTGACAGCCACACTTTCCATCTGATCTGTCTCAGCAGCTCTAACATCTGGAGACGCAGCTACGGGATGCCCTTGACTGCTGACCACATCTGTCCCCACCGCTGTCCTTTCCCTTGGAGTTCCTGATTGTTTGTAAGCTACAGAAATCACATCTTCTACATCAGTATCTTCCTTTTCTAACAGTTCATTCCCCATGGGTTTCCCATTGGACTCCTCTTTGTTCAGGCCACACAGGCTGCTGTCAGCATCTCTGTTAAGCAGTTCATCCAGAGTTGGAGGGCGCACACCATCAGAATCCCAGGGAAACTCTTGACTTTCTTCAGGGTAACTCACTTTCAAGGACTCCTTCTAGGCAGCAAATTAAACACAATTAGAGCTACATAGCGCTCATGCTTTGCCCCTTCTCTGGGAGGATCCTTTGTACCAAAGTGGGTCTATATTCTCCTACAGAGGACAAGGAATCACAAAGCTTTGGGTGACTTTGGCAAGGCCAGTTTGAATTTGTTTAAATTTATCCCACTCTTTGAGAAAAGGAACCTCATTGTGAGGAGTGTCCTCGTCTCTGAGGGGGGGGATTTGTTTTGCTGGAATTCTGCTTTCATACCCTAGGGATCCCAAGGTGTGCGAGTTAGCGTCTGATGCTGCAGGGACCAGAGGCCAGCACGTTAATCATTACATGCTCCTCACTAGCACTCACACACAGCCCTAGACATTGTAATCTGTTTAGTAAGAGAAGGTAGTTTGAAAGAAAGAGTGTTATTGCTTTTTTTAACTTCTGCCTGGAGCCGTCACCTAGGCCAGGTAAACAGGATATGCCCACTGCATTGTCTACCTTCAGCACTGGGCCAAGAACAGATAGAGGATTCTAACCCACAATCTTCAGGCCCAGAATGAGAATAAAACTGGCAAAGGGATACTGATGAGAGCAAAGGAGCTAGTCTAGCCTAAGGTCCAATGAACAGGACATATTAGACTTGGAAAACATGATCTGAACAAGCTTAGTCACCCAAAGCTTCAGCAGCATCTCATGGCAGCCAGGCAAGCTCAGGAAACTCACAGCAAAAAGTACAACCACCAGGAGAAAGCTGGGAAAGGTTCCCTCATCAGAATGCAAACCGAGTCACTGACAGTTCTTAGCTTCTCACTGTTTTATTAATGCTGTGGTGACTTGTCGAAGGCTTTAGCTAAAGACTTCGTACAGTTTGTACTGTACACAAACGGCATATTTTATCTAGGTATTTTTACCACGGTGTTGCTGGAACAGTGTCACTCTGAAGCCCAGAATGCCAAGACACTGAAAGGATGCCTAGCAGGCTGCCATTCAGATGCGGGAATTCAGCAGGACTCAGGAGATTTATTAGCTGAGTTGGGGAGAGCAAAGAAAGAAATCAAATCACTGGATATTCTCCCCAAACACTGCATCATAACTGTATTTTAGAGTGTCACCGGCAATTTGCCAAGTGATAAAATGAAAACTTGAACCTACTTCAGTTCAGGGCCCCGTTAACACAGGCTTACAAATGCACCATTAGCATGGGTCACCTCTACAGGGCTTTTCAAAGGGATGCATTTATTTGACATGCGAGAAGAATTTTATATTTTCATGTTTCCCGGACATGACCTCATATGATTCCCAGTCCTGAGTAAGTTTCTCTCATTCCTGGATGTTACTGTCTCGGCAGAGATTGGCCACTGATTGATGTATCATATGAGTGAGTCCATTTTGGAATTTGTTTGTTTCACCACTAAACAGCCAAGATACTTAACTTTTAAGAATGCCTAGCGATGGTCGCCCCTTTCCATTCTAATTTCACAGGGTATTTTACTGTGCAGTAGAGTACATACCCAACATGACCCTTCTCCATTCCTAGAACAAAACCAAGCTAAAACAGGTATATTCTTCCCTTTGATGAACACAAACAACTCCTCTCTACATTCACTGGAGTGTCTACAGGTTATGGGCATAAGAGACTTCTCTTTAAGCAAGTTTACATGACACACTGGAATGGTTCAGAAGGGTTGTAAGAACAGACATAGGGAAGCCTAGTTTTTGAATGCTATATCTGAATTATCACTACATGCTGTTCTATAAAATAGTGAACCATGCAAATTACACACGAGCAGAGATGCAAAATCTCCCATTTTGCACGGGCAGAGCAAATTCTACCAGGCATTTTGGTGCTATCTCAAGTCAGTCAGGTAGTAACTGGCTCTAGCGGGTCTTCCCACAAGCTGTAAGATACTTTACCTGCAACTGACTGACACTCTGAATGACGAGAAATTCCTGCCTATCAAGTAAATTGAATGCCCCAATGTTCAGCATAAATCCGGAGCAAACACACCAATACCAATGGGATTGGATTTCATAGAGTAATCCATGATGCACAGAAACGAATGACCACCACAAGCAGCAGTCACTAAAGCTGAATTGCTACTCCCCATGAAAAACAATGCAGCGATGCTGCTTGTTTGTTGGTATTTAAACAAGTTTAACACAAAAGGTCATAATGCTGGGAATTTAGCTCAAAAAAACCCCATACATATGACATACAAAAATCTTCTAAAATGTGAGCTCTTTGGCTTTTGTTGTTTGAAGCCAGACTCTCAAGTTTGGATTGTTCCTGGGAAGACAAGCACACAAAGCAGTGTAGGATCTGCAATGTTAGCCTGGAAAGCTTTCCCATTTGCAGTTCAGGTTGATAAATCTTTTCCATGCAACATTTTAATCACCAGAATAGAACAACAACAATCTGATGCTTTATTGCAGCACTAGCAGATGACTGTTTTCTACACCATGCAAAGCTTCAGAGACATCCTGCAAGCCAGTGAAAGCAGAGATCCACTGTCACCTCTCTCAGACTTCCAGCTTCATCTTCAGAACTCCTTAGGTGCTGGAGCCCAGGTTCTGCAACACTGGCTAACCGAGTACCACAATTGTCTTCCTCTGCTCTGCAGCTGCCCTGATGAGCAGAACACCACATATCAGCTGCCACCCCTCTGAACTGGGGGTGCAAGAGGCATTTCATTTACTTTCTCCCCGCACACCACACAGTGCCAACATACAGTCCCCAAAAAGGAGTTTCACAGCTTACATCTCTCTTACTGATACCATTTAAATGCAAGAGAAATTACATTTCCAGAAAAAAAACAGAGGTCTAGTAGTATTCAAAACCTGGAGATACGTCCCCTCTCTCCTAAAAACTAGCTGGACTGATTTTGATACTTTACAACAAACAGATAGTGTACATGCAAGCCAAGAAGAGAATCCAGAGTGTTGGCTGCATTTAAATCACCCACTTCACCTAAGACTTTCACAGCGTTCTGAGTGACAGCAACAGATTATCAAGGTGACTGCCAGGAGAGACCGTCTAACTTAATACCTTCTACCAAGCTTCTTCTACCGAGATAGATCCTGGATGTGATGCTACACTGGTAGCAAAACGGCAATGACTGAGACAATCCCAAATGGGGATACATGGTCAGTCATCCTAAATGAATTCATTGCCATAGTTAGCTACTGTAAGCTTCACCTTTGGCTAAAGGCTGAAGCTGATCCAATCAAAGCAGGGAAGGGATAGCTCAGTGGTTTGAGCACTGACCTGCTAAACCCAGAGTTGTGAGTTCAATCCTTGAGGGGGCCATTTAGGGATCTGGGGCAAAAATTGGAGATTGGCCCTGCTTTGAGCAGGGGGTTGGACTAGATGACCTCCTGAGGCCCCTTCCAACCCTGATATTCTATGATTTGTAAGACACAGTGAGAAGCCCCTCCACCCTGGATTCCCAAATGTCAAAAACTGTACATGCTCAGCATGTTTTACTGCTTCTGCTTTTCAAACTGCTGGTCAGTTTGATTAATTCACTGTTCTACCAAGCTCTCGCTACATCAGGGGCTTGTTCCACTGGCCCAAAGAGAAGGCTAGTGGTTACAGAAGTTGCTAACCATGCTCTTCACTACAATGGAGAGAATAATGCAATGAACAATTTATCTATTCTTACCCTTAAGATAGTCAACACTGTGCCCATGATTTATGGATGTCACATGACTTCCTTGGAACACACAACACTCCCTCCTGCACACGTCTCTGCTTTAATACACACTAGCACACTGTACTGTGCTGCATTTATTTATGGAGATGGCTCGCCTTTCACACATTTCCATCTGCTAAAATATTGTTGCATTTTAATGTTCCATCATATAGATAGGCCATGTGATGCCAAATGTTTACCTGCAGATAGACCTTTTTGGAATGCAGAGCGCCAAAGCTCCCTGAACTGCTAGAGGTACAGAATGATTTGCTACGATATGTCATGCACAATTTTCTCTCTCCAGTCACCCGCAGTCAGAAGTCTTCAGGCCTCTCCCATGATAGCCTGAAGTCCTCTTGTACTCCCAGTCATGTTAATATAATCTTTGCCGCAGTTACCCTCAAAGATCGGTTCAGAGAATATTTAACAATGACAATTCAAACCCCATCATCTTCACCCTCCTTACCTTCCAAACCCCAGAAAAAAGAGTGTTTCCATGAGCACAAACGTAAGAAAAGCAAATCAAGTTCTCCAACATCTGACTGGTTTGATTTCCCACTCCCCTTCCCCAGTTTTAGTTACTCAGCTTCCAGCTCCTCCCTTAAAACACCTTGGGATTTCTATGAATTATTTTCAGTTCTCCTTCTTTTCAACCAGTTCATTTCATTCTTTGCAGTCTCCTTTCCCAGCAAGCATCACCGCACCACTGCATTTCACTAAAACTATCACCTAGTGTCTCCAAATACAGATTCTCAGTCTTTGATCCACTGAGTGAATTTTTACCAGCTCTGTAGGCAAACTGGTTTAGCACTTCATCCCATCACTTCTCACACATTCCTTTGTGGGGCCTGTTTTATGGACCTTAGCTTTATTACAAAATCAAAAGGAAGTGAGAGAAGGGCTTGGGATGCAGAGAGAGAGTTGGCTAACATGTTTTCCTACTGCCATCTTATGGCATTAAACATGAATGGTAATTTCCAGTGGGACATTAATAACTCATCAGGACTCAAGGTAACATCCATCTAGGTTACTAGCTCTTAAGAGGCAGTCTGGTTGTGGGGGGCAACTGCCATTTCATAACAGATCCCAAAGCTCTGCCATGGCAGTGGAATGCTAAGCTTTCTTTGTTCCTAGCCACATTAACATTTCAGTGACGAACTGGGCCCCAGCAGACCTCTGGTCGTTCTGGAGATGAAGACCGCTTGGGTCCTTCCTATTCACATCCAATTTAACACAAGCTGCCTTGCACACTATGCCCAGCGCAGCAGGCATTTGAAAGCTTACTTTTCATGTGCCATGAAAAAGGATAATGAAAATACTGCATTGCATTTTAAAATCAATTAATTTGCCTCACAGAAGCTGGAGTGGAATTTTTAAAGCATTGAGAAGGGATTAATGCCCACAGGAACAGTCTGGCTAAATCACTACAAACTGCTTTCAACACATAAAGCATTGTTTCCTTGTCATCCTAACCCTGATTGCTCTTAATTATGTATGGACAAGGAGCACCCCAACCCCATGAAAAATAAAAAAATATCTGCTTCAAGGCCACACATGTTTTTAAATCACTGTCGATGCTCAACATTTGAAGGCAACAGTGCACCAGAAAAAGGAGCAGTGACCAAGGTTCTACGTTTATACTAAAGAAAGTGGCCATGTACCAATATTCCTCTCAGCTTCCACATAACCATAGAACCAGAACACACTTGCCAAAAGGAATGATGAAGCTGGAGTGGTATTTTTTTAAAAGAAAAAAAAAACTGAAGACCTCGCTGAAATATAGTTGCCATATTTCCATATTCGGTTATTTTACTTGCGAATGTTACTTCTGTTCACCCACTGGAAAAGGCAAAGACTAAATGAAATCCTGCCCAATGCAAATACCGCCACTCTCGCAGTAACCTTAACTCTCAAGAAGGGGCTAGATGGTTCTGTCCTTGGCCCTCAGATATTCTCCCACTATACGATACCTCTGGGATACCCGTATCCAGCTGCATGAATTCCACGGCCTCCCCAACTGTTGCCCCCAAGAGTTCAGCTGGACCCAACAGTGGCCAAAACCAAGCTCTGATTTCTCCGTGCAAACCCTCACCTGGGAATATCCAGCCAGTCATTACTATCTCAAGTGACCCATTTCTTTCCTAAATGCCCGTGACAATTCCAAGGACATGCTCTTTCTTACCTCATACTCGAAGCCGCCTCCTAGGGCGCTAACATCCATGTGCAGATTTTTGAGCAGTCTCGCTGTCCCACGGGGACTCTATATATTCAAAAAAGGAAAACAACTGCACATGAGTTTGTATCTTTGCAACTGGCCATATTTCAGGCCATGCTTGAGAACATTCTACAATTTAGTAATTGGTGGAAATGGGGCAGGAGAACTGCAAGACAATGTGTTAAAGCAACATGATGGAACCATCTGATACATTTCAGAAACCCTCCTTAGCAGTGTATCGCTTCTGGAATTATTCTTCTTTACAAATGCGAGTGATGACCAGCTACACATGGCAAGCAGGTGCTCCACACAGGCAGCCACCTGGGTAAGGGGTCTCTCTGCTGGGTTGGCAGGATTCTTCCATATTGCTATCCTGAACTGCCATTTCCCAATAGCACAATGAATTCACAAATGAGTGTGCTCATACAGATTTCAGTCTAGTCCACTATGCCTGGGATCTTGTACCCAATGAATTTAATGGCAAAGCTGCCAATGAGGTCAAAGGGGCAGGATCAGGCCCACAGAGATTGTGAACGTGTCCATAATAAACACTGAAACCCTCTATACATCTAGGAGTAGAAGAGAGCACAGCTGTGCACTTGGAAGGGAAACTTCCCTAGCTGACACATCCATGGCCAAAACCCCCTACAGACAGTAGCACTCACCCTCTTAAAAACCTAACAGTTCAAACCAGAGCGAGAATAGGGTTAGCTACCCTGGGGAAAAGACAAGAAACTTAGCCTAAGTTAAACCAAGAAGCATTGGAACCACAGGACATTCTGGGCTGAAAACCCCCGAGGCAAGGACTATCAGTGTCTATTCTCTTATGGGATCTACGCACAGCCCACAAAAACAACACACGGCACTCATAGGAATCTAACAGGTTTCTCAGCACTCTTGCTACCTGATTCTCACTCTCTTCCTCTTCATTTTCCCCTTCATCTAGAGCTAGGAGATTTAAGGAGGCTTTTTCTTCATGCATGGATCCCAGCAAGCTCTTAGGGCAGCCGGTGGATTTAAGGGTCTGTGGAGGCTGCAAAGTCACACACACACCAAAAAAAAAGGGGGCGGGGGGGGAAAGAGTAGTTAGACCAGAGCAAGCCAAACAGGAAAGGACGCAGGCATCCACTCAGGCATATCAAAGCATGGCAGCCCAATTCCATCCCTAGCAGAGGGACTCTCTCACCAGCTAAGTAGCACACAGCAGCATAACAGTCGGAATATCAAGGACTATGCAGGCTAACTTGACTTCTGAAACAGTTATTTTGCAGAGAATCATTGCAAACATATCTCGACTACTGAGATGGTGACGTCTGCTTTACACAAAACTTTCCATTATAGCAAAGGTGCTTTCACTGTAAAGAAAAACACATGCAAAATCTCCCCACTCAAGAAAATACAAATTCATCAAGTTGGATTTGCAACAGACTTCCCCCTCCCGCTTTTCTTTTTTAAGCTGGATTTGTTGCTGGTAGAAGGTGTAAGATTGATAGCTCTGAGGATGCAAAATCTCTATACCCACCAAACAAGTACAGAAACCGATGGCAACAAAAGTTTCTCACTCCCACCCCCACTAGTGTGAGCTTCTCTACGTGGCAAGTTATTGAAAGACAAGCCAGCATGTGCATCTACAGCCTACCAGCTTGCCACTCAGTAACATCCCTGATGGACATTGCTACCGTGCACTGAAAGTCATGCCCCACGATTTCCGTGTGCTGCAGCAGTATCCACAGGGGATGGTCCTGCACAGCAAGCTGGCGCACTGTAGATTCACACCGTGATCCACCACTCAGTAACTGGGCTTGTAAACAAGCCCAGTGTCTCAGCTTTCTGCTGGAGGGACCTCCTCTGGAAAACAAAAGGAAATTCAGTCTCTGCAGCCCATTTAGTCTTTCCCCTCTCTGTGGGGTGACCAATGAGGGGCCAGCGGCCATTTTACAAAGTGAACGTTTCCCCTCATGACTGGACTTGAGGCCCAACAGCTCATTTCAACATCAGATGGGAACAGCTGCTCAGCCACTAGTGTGATGGCACCTGTGATATCCTATTATCACAGCAAATGAGTGTTCCATCTTCCCTGGCAGAATTAACACATGGGGGCTCAAATACTATAATGATGGGCACCAACATAAGAGCTTCCATAGCTAGAAGGCGGGGAAAGAGAGGAGCAACTCTTATGCTCCGGCAGCGTCATTCTGACTGCAGTGGGCTGGAGAGCATCAGGCCCAGGATCAGGGCCACTCTGGACTAGGTTCTGTACAGACATTGGGGCAGGGGGAGAAAATGCAGACGGAGGAAACACATTTCACATTTTTAAGCATGGCTTCAAAGACAGGATAAAAACCATGTACGAGGGACAGGGATACTGCCTTTGAAACACCATTCTAGTGTGTCTGTGGAGGTTCCTGAAAACCTGGCGCATTGCAATAAACACATCCCAAACTGAACTTCCAGTGAAGAGGAAGAGAGTTACCAGAGTTCCTTCTCTGAGCAGCAGACTGGGTACCCCGGAGTTCTCCACACCGGTGCTTAGTGAGCCACGGAGGGCACTGGCTGGACCATCCACGACACCACGTAAAGGAGCAAGACTCCCCAGGGGAGCTTGGACAGGTGCTAGCAGGGAACCTGGAGACTAGGGCATGCAAGGACAAGGTAAGTATCTGACCACAATTGAGATGGATCAAGAGAAAGAGAGCAAGCATCATTTCCAGTCTGCAAGTATAAAACTACAAAAATAAAGAGTCACTCCTATCTAAACACTGCCTGCTACCATTTAAACTACCTCTGCTCAAAAGCTGCTAATGAGACCCAACACTCAGGTGTGTGAGAAATAACAGGTGGATTCACTTGTGCATATAGCCCAGGACCCATATGAACACAGAGTTATTTAGTTCACAACAGCCAGGAGTTTGTCTGATTCACAAAGTTCAGAAAAACACCACCAAAACATCAGGGAGTAGATAAAATACAATATAACCATGTTGGCATACACAAACTTTATAGATGCACATTCACAAACATTATATGAATGCCTAGGAGGGTGGTCAGAATCTCTGCATTATTCTAATAAAATCAGGCCAGACAGCATTTCCCATCTTGTACCCCTCTGCTGCTTTGCACAGCACTGAATAACTGAAGTAGAAACCACGGCTGACAAATTCGGTTTCCTCAGCAAAGAAAAAGAAGTGACGTTTATGGTGAATTACTGTCCAGATATCAATCTGTGACTTTTCAAATAAGAACGAACCAAAAGCATTAATACACTCTTGCTGTTACTTGAAACAACCCTTCTCTGAGTTGGGTCCTCCCATGCCAGCCTTGCCCTCACTGTTGAGTTTCGAGCTGCTGGCCAGGAAGAGGGGGAGCAGGGATGCCCATATGAAGTAATAATAGCCCAACAAACTGATTGTGTAGGACCTGGACTAACTGTGCAGCTTCCCCCTCCAATTACCCATGAGAGGCTGGGGGGGTTCTCTCATCATTTTCTTGTTGTTACTCTAAGCAGAATAAGGCATGACAGTCTCACTGGGATGGCAAGAAGTCTCCTGCCGTCCAGAAGCTGCAATAAGCAGCTGGGACTGCAGCAATGACTTTGGCTGAGAAGTACAATTGTTCAGTGGCAGGCAATTCTGCTGCAGAACTTCACCAAGGGTCTCTTAATAATTTCTACTGAAGCTACTCCCATCTACAGCACAGCAAAAACCTTGAGAATAATTCCTCCCTCCATCCCAGTTAGAGGGGTCAGAGAAGAGCCATGAAAACTGTTAAAGGACTGGAAAACATTTTAGAGTGAGAAACTCAAGGAGCTCAATCTATTAAGCTTAATAAAAGGAAGGTTAAGGGGTGATTACAGTCTGTAAGTACCTACATGAGGAACAAATATTTGATAATGCACTCTTCAGACTAGCAGCAAAGGTAGAACAAGATCCAAGGGCTGGAAGTTGAAGCTCGACAAATTCAGACTGGAAATCAGATACATAGTTTTAACAGTGAGGGTATTTACCACTGGAACAGCTTACCAAATGCTGCAGTGGATTCTCTGTCATTGAGAATTTTCAAAGCAAAATTAGATGATTTTCTAAAAGGTCTGTGCTAGGTCTAACAGGAATTAATTTAGGGAAGTCCTGTGGCTTGTGCTATGGAGGTGGTTAGACCAGATGATCACAGTGGTCCCCTCTGGCCTTGGAATCTATAATCTCTAAACAAATGCGAGTCCCATAAAGGGCTGAAATCAAACAGGACAAGCTGGAGAAAATGCCGAACTCAATTGACCTGATCAGAAGAGCCGAAGTTTAAATTGCACTTGTAAAGGTGGGCTGAGAAACTATAGGCTAGCTCGGAAATAATCCCTCTCGTATAGCAGTGACACAAACAGGCCCCCAACCAAGGACCTGAATTCCCATCACAGAGCATCTCAAAGCTCTATTTTACACAGTGGAATTTTTTATCCAGTAAGTCATACCTTGCAATACCCAGCCCGAGGTAAACTGGAAACTAATGCATGCTTCAAATACGCCTATGGTTTGCCAGCACAGCTCTGTAGCATTTCTTCAACAGAGCACGTGTGCGTCGACAGAGCCCCTGTGCATCGGTAAAGCAGTCTCCCGTACACTGTGTTTATACAAAATTACAGACTGAAAACACAGTTAATTCACTAGCAAACCGGGAGAACGGGAAGGAAGATAAACGCACACTGATCTCTCCTCCACCAAGTCGTTGCCAAATCAATGGTTATAGTGTAAATTACACATTCTGGGCTTAACTAGTAATTTTCTACCGATGGCTATTAACTATGTGTGTGAAGCTGGGGGTGTTAGTTGTCCTTCAGCAAGAAAAACTCACTTCCATCCAGCTAATTAAAACTTCCAGGATAATCTACAGTTTATCTGATATTTATAGTCATAGTTATTATCAGCTAAGGGGGTGCTACCACATGCTGGTAACTGGAAATCGAAGCTAGCAATTCAGTGGAGTCACAGCAGGATACCAGCAATACGGGACCAAAGCAATTCATTAACATTACATACACACACTGACCTTTTATTTTATTTCTTCAGAACACAAGATTTGGCAAGTCGTTATTAAACCGAGGCAATTACTTATGAAACAAAGAACAAGCCAGCCCAGGACACTCTTCACACCGACGAGGCACCTCCCACTGTATGCGGTGGAGGAAAGCACCATGGCCCAAAACTAGTATATCTTATAGCAGTGGGGGACACTCAACTGCTCTGCCTCTTGAGGAGGAAGAGTGAGCTTCAAGCACACGCAGCTGCAGGCCAGAGCAAAACAGCTTGAGCGCTTGTCATCCAACATTAAATACTACCTGGATTTTTGTTTTTAATTAACGAGGCAATTGTAGCCCAGGATAAATGTCCTAATAATGGGATAGCTGGGAGCTCTGAAAAGAAACAAGCATACTTTGGATTGAATTGTTTTATCAAGTTATGAAGGGCGGAGAGTTTGTCCCATGATATTCAAAGCAAAACAGTCAGAGAGCATTGCTTGCCATCTGCTGCATACCCCCATGTCCCCGGGTTCACTGTCAGCTTTGCAGGGAAGCATCACTTTTAATGGGTGCTTTGGAGTCTTTTGGTTTCCCAAGAGCGGAGGCGGAGGGGAAAGAGGGAGAAGACTGCTTTCAGAGATGGCACCATTCCAAGCCCACCTTTGCTGCTCTCCCATGAATTTACCTGGTTTGAGTTTGCCAAGATGTAACATAAGACAATAGCAGTGGTGTTCAGGCCAAAACTGAGGTTTGCTCAAAGTAGTTCGTGCAGCACCTGCCTGTAAAAAGGCCTGCACCAGGGGGCGGGGTGTCACTGTGCTAATGCCCAACTTCCTTGAGAAAACAAGTTCATGCAAGTTTTGTTTTTCTGAGTTCACCAGAAAGGGTGGCCCTGTGGTTAAGGCACTGGACTGAATTCCTGGCTTGTTCATACTCCCTACATAACCCCTGCCAAATCACTTAATCGCTTCGTGCCTCAGTTTCCTGTCTGTAAAATGAAGACACTTTCTTTCTCCCACCATTGGTCTACCTTATCTATTTAGACAGTTCACTCTTCAGGACAGGGAGTGGCTCTATGTATTTGGACAGTGGCTAGCACAATGGGCCCTGATCTAAGGTGGAGCCTCAAAGCAAGTGAAAAACAAAAAAGGGAGATGTTCCTAGAAATTACTTTGTAATTAAATGTAATAATCCCAACCCATGTACTGCTCTATGTGATCTGTTTGATAGTTCACAAGACAGAAATATTATATTATATTATGGTAGAATTCACCCAGGATGTAAGTTATGTAGTGCTTACCATGCCAGGAAGGTCAGCTGCAAGGTATTTTTCATCCTGCACCCCAAAGCTTTAATAAACCCCTCAAATACCTGCCACATCAGCTCATGTGACTACCACCAGGAAGGTAATTTCCCTTTCTCCTGAAACTTCGCTTAGCAGAGAGAAAATGCCCACTCAATTCCTCGGATTCATTTATAATGGAACAGCAAACCAGTTACAGAAGGATTTTTAAGTCTAAGCTGCCTACCTCATTATTGCCTGCTCCTTCACAAAGCTCCAGTTTGCTGCAATCCTCAGTCGCTTTCCCGCTCTGGGTCAACTCTCCTTCCACCTGCCGACAGAGCCTGCTGCTTTCCTGGCACTCGGTGGTCTGATAAAGCCAACCAGGAGTAACCTGTAAACCCTCTGTGAACAAATCTGCCTCTAGCCCTCTAGGAACTGGCTCTGTCCTTTGCTGTTCTTCTACTGTTTCTTCTTGTCTGCCCTCATTGTTCGTCTCAGGGGCATCACGTGACCTATTCAGTTTCATGTTAAAACTGACACAACTATGTTCCTGACTAGGCACTTGATCGTTTTCCTGCACATGCTGATAGAACTGCTCATTCTCAGAGTTACAGTCACTCTGCAACTTTTCATTGGCTGAGCTTTGTGGCTGAGTTTGGAGAATTCCTGAGAAAGGATGAGTGGGTAGAGGACCTTTAGCAGCAGCAAGCAGGTCTGTCTGTCTGTCAGACTCATGAGAGCTCTGGAGATCCCAGGAGAAGTTATCAACCTCTCCCAAAATCTGTGATACAAAATGATCAGCTGAACTGCTTGTAACACTGCTATCCGGTTCAGGCCCCAAACCGTTTGCCTTCTCCTTCTCTTCGTGCTGTCCAGCACAAAGAGAAACAGGCTCCGACGCAGAAATTTCAGCTCCTGCTTGAGCACAAACTTCTACCCCTATGGTGTAGGGTAATGTTTCTGCAGTCACTTCAGGGACTGCCAGGTGGCAGTCTAATAGGTCTTTTTTCTGGACTACTTGTAGGCCTGCTCCTTCAGATTCAACAAACTCTGCCTGCTTTGAGCGCTCTCTCTCACACTTGCTGACAGCCTCATTGCTCTTGCAAAGTTTGGTGGCTTGACTCAATGCCTGATCCTGAAGTTTTCTCTTCTTTCTGCTCTCGACTGCTTTGCTGTGTGCCCTCAGCTCCCGTTGGGGATAGCGAGCATCAAATTCCGCGATCAAACTCAGGTCTTCTGGGGGACTGGCATCAAAGAGAATCATTTCACGTTTCCTGCTGTAAAAAATATGGTCAGGGGCACTGGGGGTCAAGAAAGCTTCATTTTCATTGGCTTGTGATAAACCTGGGTCTCTTTCCTTATCACCACCAGGCCCTGTTGATCTTTCTCTGACTGATAAGCGGTCATCAGGCTGACAGACACACTCTCCTGTCATTTCCTCCTCCTTCCAGTTGTCAGACAGCTTTTCCTCAACAAAGAGCATACCTTTGTCCTCCAGGACATTGGGGGAATCAAGGACACTTCTCCCATTTTCAAAGTCTTGTGAACACGATTTCTTTGACACGTAGGAAATGGGCTTTGTCCTAACAACATCCAAACCTCCAAACTCCGAGTCAGAAAAACCAAGACAAGACTTGTCTCCAATTTTTGGGGTCTTGTCTTGGCCCTGCTGGTTGTCTACATCCAATTTGCTAAAAGATGCCGTCCTTCCTAAAATTTTCTCCACATCAGCTAAGATCTGGTGAGTTCTGCTGGACTTTGCTGTGAGAAGTGGCTGCAATTTATTTGGGGAAGTCCCTGCAAACTGTCTGTTTGAGTCACTTGTCTCTGGTGGTCTCCCAGAAGTCTTTCCTTTACCTTTCTTAAGAAAGCCCTCATTCCTAATCTGGCTATCCTGATCTAGATCAGGACTTGCACACTCAGAGGACAGGATGGGAGAGGACATTCGATAAAAGGATGTTGAAGGAAGAATCCCTGGCTCTGGCTGCATTTCCTAAGTAAATAAATATTAGCAGATAACTAAAATAGACAACATGAGATACATACACTCATCTACAGCACAAAATGGAACAGGATATACTTGCAGCATTTGAAATAAGAAGTGCTATCAGAAGTCCCTCAAATTGAAGGCTTGGGCCTTTTCCATGGAAGGTCCCTGCCTGAAAAAAGACTTCTAACCCCAAGAGTTTGTTGGCCTTCAAGGTCTGGCCTTCAAGGCACATCTTATCAGCCTGACATTTACTCAGTTACTGATTGAACTGGGAAAGGTCTCTCTATCTGAAAAGGGAGGAATCGTTTGCCATTGGGAGGACTACTCTTGTTGCCAAACAACAGCAAAACAGATGAACCTGTTGCTTTTAAGGCTGTGCCTAGATACCATAGCAACAGGTGCACAGTTACTGCATAAACAACATTGGTTGTTCCTTCCAGTGAGAAATACTGCTCCAAAAATTCTACAACAACCCCCCCCGCCACACCATCTCAGCACAGCAATTACTCCATCCCTGAAAGGCAGGAAGTAAGAGGAATGGCGTGAGTTCAGAGCTCGGAGCCCATGTTCTGCAAGGGCCTGTGATCAAACGGGGGTATGCAAAGCATTAGGAAACAGGAGGATCCTAGAGACATTCTGGGTGTGCCACAGACCCACTCTAACTCCAAGTCACCTGAGCAGCTTGATACCTTGGCCCAGTCAACTGGGAAGAACAATATGCTAGAAAACCTTGGCCAGCCCTCAGCACAAACAAAACGAAGAAGAGACACCTTTGGGTCCTGCAGTATCCTTGACTTGATTTAGGAAGGGGGCTTTGAACTGCTCATGCCAACATGGGGCCCCTCTGGCACCACAGCAACTCCACAGTCCCAGCTCCCTTTTCTAAGAGCAAGACTGGAGGGAGGGAGCATCCAGTGAGCCCTGTCTTCCTTCCACCTCACAGCCCCTCAGGCCATAAAGTCGTTGGGAGCATCACAGAAAACCAAGTGCTGAGTTGCTGAGGGGAAAGTGAAAAGGAGTACTTGTGGCACCTTAGAGACTAACCAATTTATCTGAGCATAAGCTTTCGTGTGGTTAGTCTCTAAGGTGCCACAAGTCCTCCTTTTCTTTTTGCGAATACAGACTAACACGGCTGTTACTCTGAAACCTGAGGGGAAAGTGAGAGTTCAGTGACCTTGAGGGTGAAAGTGGCAGTAGCTGCTCCCCTGAACAGGCCAATTTCTCCTCTGGCCTCGGGTTACTAAGGGATTTGGCCCAGTTGTTAAAAATTAAATTAAAGAACAATAATTGAAAAGCGATGCCACGTCTGCCTCTGTCTGCTCCTCTGCACAGCTCCCACAACCACTTCATGCCTGAAGCCAGCCAGGCAGGTCATTCATTCTGCCTAACCTCTAATACCACAATAAGAAGCAGCCATCACCAACTCGTGGCTGGTCACTTATACTCATGCTGGCTCTTCTGGCCCTCCCCAACAAGCACCTCAGGTATACTCACCACAGCATGTTTCATTGGCTCTCTCTCCTTCTTGTCTTTCTTCTCCTTCTTGTCTTTTTTCTTCTTCTTGTCTTTCTTTTTAATGCTGCCATGAGCCGAAAGCTTCTCCCGCTCCTGGATCACAAGTTCTCTGTAATGTTCATCACAAGGGTGGTCCCACGTGGACTGGCCATTAGAAAAGTTAAAGTAATAGATGTCGCCAGTGATATCTTGACTGATGTGGGGAAACAGAACACGAAGACAGGAGAGAGTCAGGGCATCAGCTCTGTGCAAGAGAATCAGTACACACAGGTAGCAGCACGGCTGCTTTGTGTGGCCACAGAACCTTTTGTCTCAGGAGCTCATAGGGCTTTACAAATGCTGGCCATAGGCTCCCTTTGGTGCATAGCAGAAGCGGAGCATGCTGCCCCAGAAAAGCCCAAATACACAGGATGGGGGAGCAGCTGCCCCACAGCACATTCCTGCCTCCATCACATACATTTCCCAAACTACTTCTTCCCTCTCCCTAGGGCAAAGGCAGCATTTCTACCATTTTTTAAGCATCACTGCACCCCAGTGAAGTACGGTATTGTATTATCCCCATTTTACAGGTGCGTGTACAGGCATGGAGGGGAAGTGACTTACCCAGGATCACAAACTGGTTCTGTTGAAGTGCTGGGAATAAAACCCAGGAGCCCTGACACCCAGTCCCCTGCTCCAACCATTAGGCTACATTCCCCTACTTATTTGACAAGCTCCCGGAGAGGGATTAGCAAGGAGAGGTTGACAATCTACTGAAATAGCTGCTGATTTAGAGTTCTCACCATGGTTTCCACTCTGGAGGTAAAGGAGCCACAATGCCTTCTCTGGCCAGCCACATCAGCTCTGGCTCATTCTCAGGGTCAATCCCTATCTCCCTGGCAAACTCCTGAATTTCTGTAGTAGAACAAAAGCAGAGGAAACAAAAGACAGTAGAAGACAGTGTGGCAGACAAGCAAGGCTGTGCGTTACTGTGCAAACCTGTGCTAGGTACAACCCAGGGGTGCTGGGAAACCCCCTCATTGAAGACACTAGAATTAGGCTGCACAGAACTACAGAAAACATCCCATGTGCCAGGGAGCATCTTACAATGGGCAAGGCAAGGCTGAACACTGCAGGGTAGGAGATAGAGGCAGGCACAAACTGCCTGTATATGATGTATATCCATGAGAATGAAAACCAGGAGCCTTATTCTATCATCTCACCGTCGTATGTCAGAATTAACTGCATGGAAGTCAAAAGGAGTTAGTCCAGTGAAAACCAGTGTAAGTAAGAGGACAATCAGGTCCCAAGAACCCTGAATCCTAGTGTCCCACTCTAGCCACTAGATGACACCATCTCCTCTTGACAAACATTTGCCCCTCGTTCTCCTAAAAGAGACTGGCTCTCTTGCTCAGCCCCAGGTGGCTGGTTTCCTCTGTGACAGTCCCAAAGGCTGCAAGGGAATGGAACCAAGAGCCAACGCAGCACCTCTTTTCGGTGAGTGCACTGACTGGACTAATGTCAGCCTCTAAATCTGCCTTGCAACCCCTTCTGCTTGAATTTGCTAGCAGATCAGAATTTCTTTGTGAGACTGGCTGTTATTGATGCACTAACTACAGCAGGATGGAGTGCCACTAACACAAGAGCTATCTTTTCAACTCTCCAACATACTGACCATCGCTCATCCTCCTGCAATATTGAAGAGCAGCTCCTGAGCCCTATCTTTCTGCTCTGAGGAAGGCAGATGCCAGTTACCTTGCTCACTGGGTATGTACGTTTCATCATAATCTTCTTCTAGGATGAGCTGATCCCCAATGCGTATAGCAGGTCCTGCCATGTCCATTCATAAGGGGACACACTGACTGCACCTAGTAGTGAAAACACAACCAATGTCCAGAGCTAGATATAAATGAATTTCACTCATTATATATTAATTAGCAGATATGCATGTGGGGCTTTGACGCTTTCCTGGGGAGCCCAGAACTATGGGTGACCTCGTTACCCTCTCTCTCATCAAGAGAGAGACTTGCTGGAACTAAACTGGTTGACAGCTTCCTGTCAGCCCAGCATGTTAGCCAGCCAAACAATCTCTGCCAAAGCTCTGCCAGCTTTTAATTTGCCTTGCAGGTAACACTTGATGAACCCTAGTCCCAGAAACTCCCTGGAAGAATGTGCCTCTTCCACATCCAGCCGTTACTGGACACCCACAGAAATTACCAGATCCTCTGTCCCCAAAGAGACAGTGCGCACACCAGCCCACTAGGTGAACCGAGGATCCACACTTTAGTATTACAACAACACTGAGGAGAACATATAGTAAAACCAAGAATACGTTTATTACTAAAGAACAGAAATTCAAGCGATAATATGAAGCAAAGATAATAGAAAAATCTGGTTAAAAAAAAAAAAAGAGAGAGAAATGTTTCTGCAAGTCTAGAACTTAACTCTAAGAAGTTAATCTTTTCTAAAACAGTCTCTCACCTAAAACTTCTCCTGTAGTGCTTGCTGGAATTCAGACATACCAGGATCCAGACTTTCATGATTCCCCTAAGCCCTACAAAGGGTTTCCTCAGTATGTCGATAAACCTCGGGTCTTTTTTCCCCCTCTTCTTATACGCCAGGACATCTTTGAAATGCATCCTGTGAAGCGTAACCCCAGACAACATTCCTTGTCCCTTCCGTTAATTTGCTTTTTTTGTTGCCTCAGTATGTGAATATAGTCCCCACTGTTTTTAGCTAATTCTGATTAATTAACATTAGAGACAGGAAGATAACTACATCCTCTCCTGTCTGGAAGAAAACCTGCTTTTTCTCTTTGTTTGAGTACAGACTTAAAGCATATCATCGGTAAGTATCCAAAATTCCTCCTATAGCGTTCACACACACACACACAGAGCTGTTAATGACCAGTGCACTGTTCATTTTCATTAGATACCTTGTATGACATTCCTCATAGATAAATGCCACGACAAGTGCGTGTTAGGTGTAGTGCCTTTGCCAGGCCTGACTGGAGTTTGCCAGTAGGCACGGAGGCACTCTGAGGGTCACGATCGGGAAGCGAAGCAGGTTCGACAGACCAGGGCTCAGGTGCATCGACAGAGCAGCGATTGCTGAAATCTGCAGCTGCCAATGATGTAGTGATTGCTGACTCACTCCTCCGACATACAAAGAATCATAAGCAGCCCTGGTATAGGCCACATGGCTTCTCTATAATTGTTATTGATCATGTCCTCATTAAAAATCATTGGTAGTCTATGGTCATGGATGTATGAGTTCACAATATGCTAAACTTGACATGACCATCAGCTTCTGCTGACAAGAGTGCACCTCCCACTTCTACCACAGCCAGTTAATGAGGCTGAAATTAGTCCAATTCAACCAAAAGGTGTTCTTAGAATTGAGGTATCAGATGACTTTTTGTTCTGGGCTGCTCAAGGTTGTTGAAACATTACAGATGGAAGGAATGGAGTTGTTTCAAGTCAGCAGGGACGACTGTTAGCTCAGGGCTGTGGCCAAAGCCCTTCAAACATCAAGCACTGATTGGTGAGGAGATGCTCACTGCAGCTGGAATTAAAGAAAAAAGGTACATCTATCATGAGCAAAAGCAGAGGCTGGATGGGTTAAACTTTGGAACAGCATCCAGTCACTGTGTAAGGAAAATCAGGAATCCTAGTGGTCAATTCAGGCAGCCAGTTTTGGACAGGCTGCCACCAGGCAGAATCTCTGCAGTCTCTATGCAACTGTGCAGCGTCTGCAGTGGAGGGTGGTACCAGCCTGTACAGTAAAGAACTAGGAAAGCAGCATCAGCCAGAGTCTGCAAGACCACGTCATGATGTTCCTCAATTATCCACTGCCTGAAGAGGGCCAAGAAGTTCCGGGAGAGCGACCATCTACCAGCCAAAAAGAGATCGGGATTCCAGTCTGTAAGATGAAGTCTGGGAAGGCACCAGGAGTTTGTAACATCACCCCTATGTTGTTGAAGACAGGCGAGAGTATTGTTGTACCAAGGCTGCACAGACTCTTCCAGACCCTCTGGAGCACTAACATAACTGCCAACAATTGGAAGGCGGCATTATTTTTACTCTGTTCCAAAGGGTGATAAGGCCATAGGTAGCAACTCAGACGTATTACACTTTTGCCAGTCCCAGGGAGAGTCTTCATTTCCATATTAATGTCTTGAATCAACAATGCACTTCATGGCAAAGACCGGGATACTCAGCATGGCTTCAGACCTGGTCGTTCCACTGTCAACCAGATATTTACCTTCAGACTGCTTTTTGAGAAGATGGATGAATTTAATAAGCTGCGTGCAGCACTTTTTATGGACCTCCATCAGGCCTTCGATTCAGCGCATTGAGCAAGTTTGCAGGCTCTGAAGAGATGACTTGGAATCCCTAGGAAGATAATGTCAATGACAGAAGAGCGCTATAAAGAAACAGAAAGCTGTGAACACAGGAGTTCGGCTAGGCTGTGTTCTGTCGTTACCGTTATTCAATATCAGCACCAATTAGTTTATGGATAAGCTTGAGGAGCCAGCTGTCGGTGACAGTGAGCTGAACACCCTTCTGTTTCAAGATTTCAAACATGCCAATCACACTGCCTTGTTGGCTCAGACTGGTGAATCGCTGATGGCTGATCTAGTTGGGCAAGAAGCAGTGCGCATTGGTCTGGTTAATGCCTGGCCATCACCATCAAGCAGCCTCCAGCTCCAAATTACAATCCATTTAGCATTAATCCTTCTACATGGGACATCAAGCAGGTGGCAACTGTCAAATCCTTGGGGAGCAGCAAGGGCAGTGCTGGAGAGTTCTCAAAAGATGTGGATGTTTGTAGAGCAGCCACGTTGCAGGCCCTTCAGCAGCCTCTGTGAGGACCTCGTGGCATCAAGCCTGCCACAAAGCTACAGATCCACAGAACCCTGGTTATACCTGTGCTGTTGTATGGCAGTGAGATGTGGGTGCTCAAGAAAGCTGAAGAACACCAAACTGAGGTTTTTAATTCTCTTTGTCTCTATCAGCTGCTTTATATTAAGTGGCAAGACAACATCAGAAATGAGGATATTAGAAATTGAACGCAGCAACTGCCTCCATCAGCATTGGTTCAGTTTCAGTGGTTTTCTTGGTACAGACGCACTACTAGAATGGAAGACCAATGTATTATGAAGCATGTGCACCAAGGAATGCTGCTACACAGACAGCAATTACCATGGTTACCAAAAGCTTCAGTTGTGTCGTAAGATTGCCGAAGACAGATATAAACTGAATATCCAGCCAGACCACCATAACGATCTAGCTAGAAATGGATCCAGGTGGCACTTGATCTGCAAGGAGACTATGTCCCTTTGGATTTTCCATGATAGTGATAACGTGTCCCAATTATAAAGTTATTGGAAGACTATCCCCAATATTAAACATGAACAGTCACTTATTTGTGATGATTACTTGATAGGTTACCCCACATAAAGGCCAGACAAAAGAACCATTAGTGCCCCGGAAAACTCCCGTCCATTTTTTCTCGGTGATGTTCAGTGGGTCTTCAACTTCCTGTGGGCCTTTGTACCGGTCAGTCATCACTGTCAAGGGCAGGCAGTGTACCAGGCAATGTTGTCAACACGCTAACAATGACAGCTCTAAGTGCCAGAACCACACTGCTGCCATCATTGAGCTCTCCTTGCCTTTTCCCTTTCCAATGACCTCAGACGGCTCTGTATTTTTAACTCTTATGTAAAATGAGCAACCATTAATCCTACTAGGTCCCAGACTGCAGTATTTTCAGGACCACAGGATCAAAGCAACATCACAAATCCTACTCCACATTCTCTCCTGAACATATGCGACCTAAAACATCTGAATATGGACAATTTAAGGTTAAGATGCTTCCATTCTTATTTCTTTACTAGTGTTTATAGTCATCTCGCTCACACACAGTCTTTAGCAGCAGAAGATCGAGTCTGTGCTGATTTATTCCAGTTAATTGAATCCCAATTTGTATATGTACCAAAGTGCTTGTGTGTACTGTAAATATCACCACACACACGTATATTGTGAAGCCGTGAGCTACCACACTAATCAAGTGAGTATGCTGTTCCCAACTTGGTATTAGTGGCTACAACCGTGCCTTGCTTAATCACCCACCTATGAGAAAATTAAAAAACAACAAGGCAGAGTGCTGGCCAAGAAAGAGATTTTCATGCTCTCCTTGCCAAAAGCAGAATGAGGGACAGACTTCACGCCCCCAGCGCACAGACCTGCTCCCTCGCATCCTTTCCACACGCACACTCCCCTGGCACGCCCACGTGCTCTCAGCAAGTGCTCTCCCAACTCCCACCCCCATGGCACAGCTTGTGCACACCCACTCACACCAGTGCACACCGAGTCCTGCACCAGCCTTCCCCCTCCACTTGCACACGCAACGCCCACACTCACCCCCACCCCCACTCTCCCTTGCACACTTAGCCCCCCTTGCACACCCGTCCGCCGCCCCATTCCCCCTTGCACACCCACGCCCCCTACAGCAGACGCCCATGACAGGGCGGCCTTACCTTCCACGGGGCCCCAGCACCTCCCCAGCCGGGGCCACCCCCCGCTCCCTACGGGCAGCACCAGAGGGGGGAGGCGGCCCCCGGCCTGGGCTCCCCACCCTCCGCTTCCATGGACGCCTGGGGGTTGCCCTGCACGGGCCAGCAACTACTTCCGGGCTTGGTCTAAGCCTAGCAACGGCAGGGCCCGCCCCAGCCTCCGCCTGATTGGGCGCCGGGGGGGGGCCGGCGGCAGTGGATTGGTGCAGACGTCGGGCCGAGTCACGTGGGTCCTGCCGCTAGCCCAGGGTTTTGTGGGAGTTGTAGTCCGCCATGACCCGCCTTGGGCCTAGCGACCCCCTCCCCAAAACCGGGGCCAATGACGCTGCGGGGCCCTCGAGCCCCCAAGCGACATGCCCCCAAACACCAGGTGTCATGACCCCAAGGATCACCCCCCAACACTGCATGTCTTGATGCCTCCCGGGGGCATGCCCCCCAAAACCTAGTGTAATGACACACACACAGGGGCCCGACCCCCCAAGCCCAAGGGGACACAACCCCCAAAACTGTTACTTCATGAGAATTCCAGGGGTCACTGTTTTAAACAAAGCAAGTTTCCAGCCCTCTCTGGTGCAGAGAAAAGCTTGAAAACACGACCCTCTATGGATTTGAAAATCTGAAGGGAAAGAAAAATTAACAACAATAATTCGATTTAAAATCTCATTATTTTTAAACCAGTGTCATGACTGCCCATCCCTCCACACTTCCATCAATTTCAGCAAGTTAGCCTGAACAGTGCGCAGACAGTAGCTGATTTTTAATTGCCAACTATATCCTTTTACTTTCTTATGGTGCGAGCTACTGAAATGTCCATTAAAGGGGCACTATAAAACAATAATACTTAAATATACTATAAAACAATATATTAAAAATCCTTTGTTAGTACAATTTTAGATCAGTAGGCACCAAACTGTGGCGGCCATATTCTGCTACCTCTCCTCCTCACTGTCTCCAGCTAAATCAGATAGACCGTTAAAAATACACATACATTTCCTAATGTTACTTTTCCATGTATGCAATTAATGTAATTGCAAGATCCTGTGTAACTCTGAGGCCTTCTCGCTGGAGTGGAGATGTCTCGGAGGCCTTCTCTCTGTTAGGATGTAATCCACACTAAGAGAGAGTTGAAGAATCTCTACCTGAGATTATTAAAATTGAATGAATTTTGGGGCCTGATCCTGCAAAGGGAACTATTTGAATAACTCCTGATATTTACACTGAGCCCCGTTAAAATTAAGGGCCTTATTTAGAAATTTGGTCACCCATTCTAACATACTCAGCAGAGGAGGGCTCCCCAGCCAGCAAGCCAGAATCTTTAGCCAGGTTCTTTGAATATTAACCTGATCCTGAATAAGTAATGTACAATATGTTAACTTTTTTTGTAACTTTGCTTTAAAGTTAAAAAAAAAAAAGGGGGGGGGGGACACTCCTATATGAGTTATTTATGTATCTGAGTAGCCAGATTGAAATCAATAAGGCTACTAGTGCAAGTCCTTGAGTAAGGGCTTGTCTACATAGATAATTTTACCTGTATAAATTACATTGTGAATTTAAACTGCTATAGTTATAACACTATAAACACACAGACACACACACTTGTGGACACTTCTTATAGTTTAGGAGGACTTTTTAAATTAGGTTATGTTGCTTGGGAAGGGGTTTAAAGTGAACTGAAAATATCCAATATGGAAAAAAGTGTCCACACAGGCAGTTATACTGGTATAATTATACAGGCATAATTGTACTTATACTAACATAACTTTCCAGAGTAGACAAGCCCTAAATGTGTTCTGGATTAGGACACATATGTTTAGACTCTGTGCATTTCACTTTGCTTGCCCTATAGCCCGGTCATTTACTCACCATGGTTTCTGCTCAATTTCACTTTTTTTGTATGGGTTTTCAGGGAATATAAATTATCTCCAGACAAACTGGTTCAATTCATTTTTTGTTTTATGGTCATAAAAATGTTCAATTAATTTTAAACTTTATACACACACACACACACACACACACAAATAAAAGTAGTGTGCAAACAATGAAGGAAAATGAACTGTTTGGGAAGCAGATTTTTATTCAAGACTAATTTAAACAAAAATGCATGGGGAGGGAAGTAGGGTGCTCTATTGTAGCATAACCCACTCTTGTGAGTCTTACAATATTTGGTGTTTTTCGTAAAGTCCCTGCTGTTGGAGTTCTACAAGAATCTCAGTTTTCACTTTTTTTTTTTTTTTTTTTTAAAGTACATTGCTGGGTCTTGTAGTTGCAGAGAAAAGCTGGAAAAAATGATTCCCCAAAGGCTCAGAAACCAGAAAGTAAATAAAAAGAACCCCCAATTATTTTTTTTTAATCTCAATCTCATGATTTTTTGGGTCATGTCTTGTGCTTTTTTTGAATGGTTGGGTTTGGTAATATTGCTGTAAGATAGATGGCTCTCTAAAAACTACATATCCTGAAATCAACCTTGCTTCTTATGACCAGCAGCCTTCCTCTATCCCTCAGCACACGTACTCATAACCCTCTTGAAGGCTGCACACATATTCATGTTGCAAATAAACTTTATACTTTAAACAAGCAAACAGAAACTTCATTTTCTTATGCAGCTTTCTTCTTCAGCTGCCCCCACTGGCTGAAATTTATATGGGAAAAGAGTTCTTGAAATGTTTTTCCCTCTCTCTTGGGATTCATAGACTACAAAGCCAGAATTGTGACCATCCAGTCCAGAGAGTGGAGACGCTGTTCTCTTCACCAAAGGGCACCGAAACCAGACACAGCTGATATAGCTGTTACTTGAACAGGAAGCAAAAGTGGAAACTACACTTCCCAGAGATCTTTGGGGGGGGAACCTTTGGCTTTGACAGCGGCCGCCACAAGTCTTTCCGCCTCCAAATCTTGATTGCAGAGTGAAGAGATTATGGTGGACTGACAAATGCCATCTCTGGAGCCTGGAAAGTGACCGGATTGCCTGGTTTTCCCATGCTTCAGCTAACCAAAAGGAGGAGGAGGAAAACAAATCAGCCCAGCATGACTGCTGCTTCCAGGTTCTTATTTGCACTGAATCTCCTCTCTCCTCTCCGAAGTGCTTGATGGTTATTACTTTAGATTTACCAATCGAGATATATTTTCACGCTGGAATGCTCTCTGCCCCGAAGATGCTACTGGTGGCTGCTGGCTTGCTATGAAGGAGCGTTTGGTGATCTGAGTGAAACTTTTACCTGGTCCTTATGCATTCGGCTTTGCAAAGGGAGGGATTTCCTTGAAGAAAACGACTGCAACAGCACTATCGCCTCAGGAACAGCAAATTCAAAGGAAGGGCTGGGCAGGGCTTTCACCAAAATGGCCCAGGTGTTGCCTTGGTTGCTGCTGTGGCTGGGGTCTGGCATGGTGCAGGCCAGCCAGCCACATCTGGGGATCCGGGTGCCTCTGAGGAATGGGATGGGGACCCTGCAACAGGCCCCCAGGATGCAGCGCTCCGCTGAGTTGGAGCGGGAGGATTCCAGACAAAGAAACAGTTTTGTGAACATGATAGATAACTTGAGAGGAAAATCTGGACAGGGCTACTATGTGGAGATGACTCTAGGGAGCCCCCCACAAAAGGTAAGGCACGCTATCCACATTCCCTGGCTGTGGGTTATTGGGTTGGTTTGCGAAGCTGAGACCAAGTCCCGACTTCACAGAAGTTGAGGCATGTGGGGTTTGGTATGTGTACCGCTGTGTGGCTGTGCTCAAGAGAGACCACACACTGGTCAAGAGAGAATCTAAACAGACTTTGAGCAGGGAAAATAGTGATTTTAGAAAGCGACGACTCCAACTGCCAGAAAGTGAGAAATACAAACTTCACTCAAGGGAATTTTGTGGCCAGAGTACAGAGCCATTATCTGTGTGGCTGCACGAGGCATTACCAATACTCATTTCAGACACAAAAAGCAGGGCCTGGTCTGTTAATTGGAGAGCAGTTTATAAAATGCTTTCCATAGGTGTTTGCAAATGAAACACTCCAGGCTGTAGGACTGTGTGTGGCAATTACGTTGTGTGATGTACAAATGAGATGTCTTTTGGTAAATACTCTCCCTATATAGTCACAGAATAGGCCTTCAGTTCTGTTGATTCCTGTGTTTCATGGCTGGCTATTTTGGGCATCTGGATGATGGTGGTTGTTGAAGAACAGGTTTTACTAATATTCAGATCACCAAAGGAAGTGCAGCACAAAGAGGCGAATTCAGCCTCTCTTTTAGGCAGACTCCCAGGATGTCAGAGCCCAGGGCTGCAAGACTTGGCCCCAAATGGATCCTTCAACGCTACAGGATCGTAGTGGTAACCCTACAGCACTGAAATGCAAAGCTCCGAGCCAGCCTCTGTCCTTAGCTGACATCGTTGTGCTTAGGTTGACCCAGCCCGCAAGTAAGGAACTTGCATTGCTTGTGGACAGCAGCAATATCCAGGGGTTACAATGGTTTTCTGATGCCTTAGCAACTTCATCTTGGATTCTTATGGAATGTAGATGTGCATGAGAAGCGGGTGGGGGGCAGGGTGTGGGGATACAATCCCCCCTGGAGAAACACAGGTCTATTTTAAAATGACAAGTATTTGTTTTGAGAATGTCACCACAGCTGTACACCAGTCATCAGGAAGATTCAGAAATGGCAGAATTGCTCTACTGAAAACACAGACTTACGAGAGTGACCAGCCTGGCGCTTGGCCAGCTTTTTCTTCATTGTTTCCAGCCATCTATAAATGAAAGTGGGGTGCAGTTGTTCAGGGAACTTGAGTTTCACCCCACATGACAATTAAAAAATAGCAGAAGGATTGGGGGGGGGTGTATGGGTGCACATAGGTGTGCATGAGCATGTAGATACGTTGGGGATTGTATCTTTGTGTGTGTACTACACAAGCTGGCTTCTGCACCCGCTGAAATCAACAGTAAAGCTCCTCTTGACTGCAGTCATGCAGAGTCAGGTGCTAACGGAGTGCATGGGGAGGAGTTGAATGTGTAATCTGTGTGCATGTGTGAGTGGAGCATGCACACATGTGTGCATAGCATGCATGCGTTTACAGCTGTGTGAGTGTGGGTGGGTGTGTAGAGTCTGAGTTTCTAGAGAATATCTCCCAGGAAGCACACAGCAAAC